GGTTGAGGATATTGCCGGATGACATCACATCATACGGCAAAAGATCTCAACCAGATGTTGGCGTGAAGGAATAACTTAGTTTAGAACGATTTTGGTAGCCCGCGAGAGTTAAATAAACTGAACTTATTTTAAAATGTACTTTTCTCGCCAAGAACACTGACTAACATGACATTATTAGTAAACTAGGCCGCCCGCGACTTCGTACGCGTGGATCCCGTTTTACTCCTTTAGCGGTTGAATTTTGCAAAATCCCGTCTTAGTGAGCACCTACGTACTAAAAGGAACCCCCATGCAAAATTGGAGACTCTTAACACTTGTAGTTTCTGAGATTTCGTGATGAGTGAGTTAGTGAAACCTTTCGCTTTTATAGATATAGATCCTGTATGGGATGTTAGCTTCTAAAATAAGTTAAAAAGTTTGTCGTAGGCCTGTTTTACCTGTATCGTGCTTGTAAATATTATTTATTACATAGAAACGTCGTCAACAGAACATTACTGTGATTACATGGGTATTTCTCATCAAATTGCGAAATTTGATTCCCGAGCCATTAGTGCCGAGTCACATGCATTAAATTACATAAGTCTTTTTTTTATTTGAATGTACGCTGTCGATACCACTATTGCATAAAAAGAAAACGTATTACCTCTAAAGAAAAAAAAGATATGGCTACTTTATTACCGTGAAAATCATTCCCTCACCTTGTCCCTTAGTCCAAAATTATTACTAAAATGCCTATTAACTTGAAATATATCAATATTTTTAATAATAAAATTATGCAAATATGTAAGAAAGATGTTTGTTATTGTCCATAAAAGCTTTCATCTTACAACAACAAATTTATAAAAACAATGATTCGATTTTAAATGTGTCCCGCCAAATAAAATCATTCCCTCATCCTATTACGAATATTCGATTTCTGAATGTGTCAAACGATATTTAGTAACGCAACTTTAAGTTTTTAGTACCTGGATACACTCTCAAATGATTCAAGATGGCAATTTCTTCTCAACAGTAGGTTAGTTCGTGTAAAAAAATATTTTGCGTAAAATTGTTAAAAGTTAAATTTATGACGATCATTACCTCACGTTACATTAATGTATTAAGCATTTTAATATTTATCATTAAAATTTGTTGGTTTTATGCGTTTTTGGGAGTAAAATACATATTAAAAATGTAACAAGCAAATTGAGGTTATGTGTCGGTGTTTTTGTAGCTTAAGTTAAAATTCGTCATTCCCTCACAGTCATTCCCTCACTTCTAAGTGCAGTGAGGGAATGACGGTCGTGTGAGGGAATGATTTATCCAGTAATCTGCGGTTTTTTAGATTGTTTAGACACCGTTGATTTTTAGTCGGCCGATAGTTTAGTCGGGTTGGACTCTCAGTGCTCACACTGATTCAACTAAACAGTTGAATCGGGCGTGGGTGCGCAGACCGCCGATTTAAAATCGGGCCGATTGCTTCATTCGATAGAGAGCTGTTGAAGAGATCAGTCGCGTAGAATGTTTCCCAGAAATATTATAATTTTTTCTATACCAAATTAACTCATGCCTGCGGCTTCAACTGCTCGAAATTCAGATTGTTACATAAAAGATAAAAGTTTAATAAAAATCATCTCAAATTTATACATCATGAAAAGGAAATTGACCTCCTTCTTCTCGAAATTGGACCTACCTAGCTGAATCGTTTGTCCGAGGTAGACATACTTGTCAACAATCTCAAGAATCGAGCGCAACATGGACGTTCGACATAAGCTTCGTTTTGTCCGTGTTCATCCTGTGATGACTCGGAAACGTGGCCTCTCACTTTAGACCCTATACAGAAGCTCAAAGTTGCACAGCGTACTATGGAGAGGGCTATGCTCGGTGTTTCTTTACGAGATCGAATCAGAAATGAGGAGATCCGTAAACGAACTAAAGTCGCTGACATAGCCCGACGGATTAGCAAGCTGAAGTGGCAGTGGGCAGGGCACATAGTACGCAGAACTGACGGCATGAGGCAACAAGGTTCTGGAATGGAGGCCGCGTACCGGAAAACGCAGCGTGGGACGTCCACCCATAAGGTGGACCGACGACCTGATAAAGGTAGCAGGAAGGCACTGGATGCAGGCCGGGACCAACCGTGCGATGTGGAAGTCATTGGATTATGTTCAGCAGTGGACGTCCTGTGGCTGAAATGATGATGATGAAAGGGAAATGATCATGAAAAAGTGAAATCGAGAGTAATAACTAGTTAAATCAATTAATTAGTAATAATAACCTTTCCCGCCAAAAACGAGGAGCAAACTGAAGCTATCGGCCGAGTTGGACGACGAAAAATCGGCCAGTCTGCGCGCGCGTAGAGGAGCGCCGTCTGATCAAGCTATCGACCGATAGTTGGACGATACTTTAGTTGGAAGGCAGTTGGGAATCGTATTCAACTATTTAGTCGGCCAAATCAAATCGGCGTAATGTGCGAACTTCCATACATGCCCATACTGATTAACTGCCCGACTAAACTATCGGCCGACGAAAAATCGATGGTCTGCGCCTAGGCTTATTTATTTCATGTAACTTGTATTTCCTGGTATTTAATTTAAAAGAGGTGCATGTATGTGGAAGCAAAATAGCACGACAAAAGAAGTTGAGTGATGCAAAAAAATAAATAAAAAAGAAAGAGTACGATAGAAAAAGGCGAGAAAAATGAAAAATAATACTGAATCTTTGAAAAAACTGCGGGAAAAAGAAAGATTAAAATATTTAAAGGAAAAAGCGAAAGTTCAAGTAAAAACTTAGACTAGTGAATACCCGAAATACTTGTCAAAACTTAAAGCATGCCAATATGCCATTTGTACATGTTGTTTTTTACTATAATATAATAATAAATCATTCCCTCACTCTGTTAATCATTCCCTCATTTATTAATTTTTTTAAACCTCATTTTTTATAGGTAATATAAAAAAATATGGAAGACCAATACCCCTGGACAGATCTTTAAAAGTAACTTTTCTGATCTCTGCAAAAAATATCTAAGTTTATGTAAAAAAAAAGAAATTTAAAAAAAATCTCAAATTTTGAGATTTCATAAGAAATACCCAGTTATTTCATCATTGCAAACGTTGTGATAGGGATAGAGACATGCGATTTTTGGTTTTACGAAGGTAATACGATAGAGAATAATACAAAGTAATAAAACCCACCGGTTATAGGGGCATTTTTTGGAGAAATTTATTAAATAAACAAAAAAACGCGAATTTAAAAGCAGTTTTTTTATCAAAAAGTATCATTTTTTATTATTTGTTGGCCTTTTTGTGTATTTTATGTATTTTTTTAGTATCGCCTGTTATTTAGCATTATTATTTATTACTGTTTTTACTTTATCAGGATATACCGCTTAGTTTAAAAGTAATTACGTTTTCTTTACAATAAGTAATTGGAAGAAAATAAATTATATAAAAAATTAAAAAAAAAAATCAAATTGACCTCTTTTTTGTCGATAAAAATAGGTCTAGTTTCATCTATTTTTATATGTACACTTTAACGTGACTCACACTAAAAAACATTTATAACTAAAAATGTTTACGTAAGCATAGGGGGAGGAGGTAAGTGCTTTGCTTACTTTTGATGACAACGGGGGCGGGGGGGTAAAAAATGGTAAGAAATCTGCTTACGTAATACTTGAACGGCCCCTTAGGCCCTTAAGGTGTCAAGGCGTTCGAGTCCCCGATAGTACATACAGTCAGCGTCAAATACACTCAACATCAAATAAACCGCACCTTCCGCGACGCGAACTTTAAAGATTTTCTTCTGACACAATCATGGTGCCCCAACAATATTGGTGTTATTTGAAAGCCCAATAAATATCCTTAAAGAAAAACACATTTATTTTCTTAATAAATGATTATCATATACCATAAATGTGACTTGAAAAGAGACCTCACTTTGGGCTCATCTGTGGGATCAATTAGACCAAATTTTATGGTTATAAAACCAAAATGCATAATGATCACACGGATTCACACGTGTCCTCTTTAACAGATGGATACCGATTAATCCCAACTTAACAGTTTTATAGCCATAAAAGTTGGCTCAAGCGTAATAGCCTATTTTTTGAAGAAGTGACTCTGGATCCTTCTAAAGACACATTTTTGGGGTAAAAACCTTTCCTTTAATGAAATGAAGCTTAGAACTAGGCTTTTAAATGGTGCCAATATTGGTGGGGAGTGGGGATGTATACGTTTGAAAGTGCTTGTTGCGGGAGGTGCGATTTATTTGATGTTGAGTGTAGTTCGTGACACCCAAAGTGGCCAAAAAGACAACACAACCTTACGCCAATTGGAACAAAGACGTGTTGCGAACTTTTTGGATGCTTTGGGTGATTGGGTGTCACGAACTTTTTGACGCTGGCTGTACTACATTCCTTTACTTGGATGTTAAGATGTGTTTTGCCCCTGCAGGACAAGACCTGTCCCTTTTCTGACGGCCAGTTATCATGGATTTTTCACTTTATGCGTATGACGAATCAACGATCTTCCTTTAACATTTTATGCGTTGTAATGTAACTTGTAGATAGGCCAAATTCTTCTCTCCTCTTTTCTCCACTTTTGTAAGCATTGGGCGTCAGCGAACGGCTTACGGCCACAGTTCCAGCTAACCATATCTGGTCATTTCGTCTCGCTCTATCGCAAAGAGTCAACATTTGATAAGAGCGAGAGAAAAACGGAAATGGGTAGCTGGAACTGGCCCACTGTACCTACATATTTCCAAAGAATAAGGTGGCCTAATTCAACCTGTGGCCTAATTCACGTATTTTGACAGTTAAGATCTCGCTGGACGTTCAGAAGTCATCCCATTGAAAAACAGTTCTAAATCCGTATTCACAAGGGTCATTTTCGATAGAACGGTTAATCGATAGGATCGCAACTCAGCGATTTGTTGTCATTGAAGTTTTGTTACGTGAATAAGGCTACTGGACTTTTACTATGACCTGCCAGAGAATTCAGAACCTTCATAAAACTCAGTAGTTACGCGATTTGAACTTCAGATTCAGAATTTCAATAACATTCCTGATTTTCAGGTCAAAACGACAAAGGGCCTAGGACGCAGACCTACCGAACAGCCACCTAAACCTACCCCTATTCAGATGCCTAATCCAGCCAAGCGCTTTAAAAAGACTGAGTCTAGCAATCCATGCTTGAATATCATAAAAGCTAACATCAAACGTAGAATGCTCAAGAAACCAGAAGAGACGAAAGAACAGAAAAAATCTCGAAAACAACAAACGCGTCTAGAAAAGGCACGTAGGAAGAACCTCTTCAAAAACAACGTCTTGCTGTGTATACTGGAATTTGTGACTAACGAGCGAGAGATAGGGATCCTTTTTGATGACCAATTGCATAGCGGGCAGAGGAAGACCATACACGATATAGTTGAAAAGATAAGGAATGCGGAGGCGCCTGAGAACAAGCACACTAGGGGCTTAGATCAGGCCCTGTTGAGCAATGTAGCTAGGAAGAACAGATACATGCTGCAGACGCAAAGCGAGGGAGTGATGCCAAAGCGGTAAGTTCATCCTTTATTGTCATCATTTCAGCCACAGGACGTCCACTGCTGAATATAGGCCACCCCCAATAATTTCCAAATTGACCGGTTGGTAGCGGCCTGTATCCAGCGCCTTCCTGCCAGCTTTATGAGGTTGGTCCACCTTGTGGATGGACATCCTACGCTGAGCTCTCCGGTAGCTTTTACATGGCCTCCACTCCAGAACCTTGGTGCCCCATCGGCCGTCAGTTCTACGTACTATGTGCCCTGCCCATTGCCACTAGATTGCTAATCCGTCGGGCTACGTCAGCGAATTTAGTTCGTTTACGGATCTCCTCATTTCTGATTCGATCTCGTAAAGAAACTCCGAGCATATATTAATGTTTAAATTCGTTTTCCAGGCGCCTATGTCTATTCAAAGAAGCGCCAAAGTCAATGTATCTCGTAACACATTACATGTTGAACGACCGAAAAACTGATTACGTTAAACTAGAAGAAGACCAGAACGTAAGCCAAGCGAAAAAGTATAAACAGATAGGCCTAGCACGTAAACAGCGATTGATAGATGCGAAACAGCGGAAAAAAGCAAAACAGCTGAGAAAAGCTTTAAAAAGAGCCCAGAAAGTTAATGCTGATAAAGTTGAAGTAGAAATAAACATTGACGAGTACAAGTTTGTAAAGGATGAATTTGATAATTATGTCGCCCGTAAAATTACTGACATACAAAAATCTGACGCTAAAGAAAGTGAATCAAACAAAATAAAACAGAATATAGACAAATTTGATGCAAAACAAAGTAAAGCAGACGAAATAAAACAGAATAGTGACATGGATCAACCAATGAGCGACTATGATGAGGATATGCTCGAAGATTATTTCAAATCGAGCGATGAAGATGTCGAAATGACGAAACCAGAATCTCATGATGAATTAAAAGCTATCTTTCGTATTGAAGATAAAAAATACAAAGTTCAAACCGCTGCACAAAATATCAATGTTAAGAAATCAAATGAAACCAAACTAGATGTGGATAACAATAATAAATTAAAGAAAGTTGAAGAGAAATATGTAATTAAAACGAGAAAGGACTTTTTGAGGCATAACTTAAATAAGTGTTTCGCTGAATTCCTCAACGGTGAAGCATTTATCGAATTCAAATTCTTGGGACAGTTTGACACGGAAGAGTATGAAGTGATGAATGAGTTTCTAAATGACTTCTTCATGGCTAAGAGCTCAAATAAAGTCACGAATGAGGAGTTTAGTGACATTTGGAAAAGCGGGGACTGGAATTTGGGTTATAAACGGGATTTGAACGGAGGTTTAATGTGAGTAGATTTTTATTATTACTTCTTTAATGCTATGATTCTCAATTAAAGATTTAGGCCGAGAACACACGGTGAAACGCAACTGCAACGAAACCTATTTGAACTGGTCAAACTGGTCGCGTCATGTGTGGTCTCTCAACGGACGCTATGGCAGAAACTTAGATGCAACTCAAAAGTAACTAGAAGTTGCAGTTGCGTTTCAACGTGTGTTCTGGGCCTTACGCAACTGGCATTAAATTAGTTATTTGATACTAATACTTTGAGAGAATAAAGTTCATAGCAGACTTAGCAACTCGGAAACACCGTATCGCCTTTCGCGCGCCGTTATCCGCGAGGCGAGCCGTTTACGTTACGGTGCGGATAAGTGTGCGTTGCAGTATGGAGTTTCGAGTTGATACGGTTACGATCCCTTTCCGGGTTGATACCTGAGTGTTCGAACATACAAAGTAACAAAACGAACAAATCTTTGTCCGTTTTGTTACTTTGAAACTGATAAATAATATTACTGATTTGAATTGGCGAAAAATTAACTTATTAACCCTATTTTTTTCAGGATATACAAAGTTACACACAAGACAGAGTAAGCAAGTAAAGAAACGTAACAATTCGCTTGCTTCAACCGTTCAAAGAAATCGCTCAATGCTGAAAATGAAGATTAATAATGATCATTATTGGTAACTAATTATGTAGTTCGGTCTTAAGTTACTATCTCTACAGTACAGCATATAAAGCTTACATTATGGCAGTGTTTTTCAACCTTTTTCATGAGACGATCCCCTTAGTAAGAAAAATTACGCTTTTTTTCCTGCATTTTATAATGTTACAAAGATGTTGTAGGGACTGAATACTTCAATGAGGGTTTTCGCGAATGAAAGATCCATGGCGGGACGTGGATGTGGGGTCTGACTGCTGCGTGATTGGTGGATTTTGACATATCTGTCAATGTCATGTCAAAAATAACCAATCATGCAGCATTTGGACCTCGCGTCTACGTATTGCCATCTGGCGGATTTTTCATTCGCGAAAACCCTCATTCATACAACATTTATGCATTTGGATAATTAGATTTCGGATAAATCTATCTTTATAACTTTACTAGCTTTCCGCCGCCCGCGGCTTCGCCCGCGTGGAATTTTGTCTGTCACAGAAAAACTTTATCGCGCGCGTCCCTGTTTCAAAAACCGGGATAAAAACTATCCTATGTCCTTTCCCGGGACTCAAACTATCTCTATGCCAATTGTCATCAAAATCGGTTCAGTGGTTTAGGCGTGAAAGCAAGACAGACAGACAGAGTTACTTTCGAATTTATAATATTAGTATAGATTATTTTTTAATGAGGTAGTTTTTACCTCTCTCTCCCCGCTATAGAGGCTTCACGACCCCCGGTCGAAAAACACTGCGCTATGGAATCGTACGTAGTTCGAATAAGTATGTGTTAGTGGATAGATACATTTTAACGATTATTATAAGAGTATTAATCAATCTAGTCTTACCTAAAAACAGGGACAAAATGTCCAACGAAGTTGTAATATGACTGTTTAAAATAAGTGGATGTGATATTTTATTGTTTAGAGATATTAAGATTTCTGCATTTAAGAGATGCATCTCTTTCTATCAGTTTGATCTCAAGCTCAAAAAAATTATTCCCACCTAAGGTGTTTATGAAAATTTATTTTGAGTCCTAAGTAAGTTTTTGTATTGAGAAAAAATTAAGTTTGTAAATGTAAGATTGTATTGTTTGTATTTTGTATTGACTAAAATGTAAGCCAGTTTACTGTTCGTACATATTCACATGTAATCCACAGCAGTTAAACATTTTGATTCTTTATTGGGCACTAGCTTTTGCCCGCGTGAAAAGTTCTGTCAGAAAAATTATCGCGTGCGTCCCTGTTTCAAAAACGGGATAAAAACTATCCTATGTCCTTTCCCGGGACTCAAACTATCTCTATGCCAAATTTCATCAAAATTCGTTCAGTTGTTTATGCATGACAGACAGTTACTTTCGCATTTATAATAATTATATTTGTAGGTATTTGCGTAGCCCTAGTGATGCTCTACCTCAGGGCTTCGGCTTGACACTACTTTTTGGGACACCCTGTATAACTTTTATACTCTATACCACTATTAACATATCGGCAAGTACTGAGATCTTATTAGTTTACTGCTGAAATGTATACTGACTTGAAAAAAATACTATAGTAAGGCGGAGTTGCATCACCTTAACTTTAACCGTAACTATAACCGGTGTTTTTGTATGTAGTTTGACAGACTTTTGACATTTGTAAGATGGTGCAACCCAGGGTAAGTGTAATAGTGTTAAGACTTATTTATTAATTAAACTTCAAAAAGTTAAAACGTGTCTGGACTTACACGAAAATTTGGTCTGTATTCTCTAATTATTATACTAATACCTGACTTTTCTTATAATATTATAAACCTATTTTAGTAGTTGTTTTATGTCAAATAAAAATTATGATAATATTAATGTGTTTTAATTATTACTCAAGGAAGAGAGTATCAAAATAAAATTGTCCATCTACATTCCAAAATAGTTTCAATGCTGTGATTATAAAGATGTCCACTATGTGACATTTTGTGGGCGTGGGCTACCGTTTTAGTGTTGACCAATTGACGCTAATTTAAAATATTAGGGCAATAATTAGAAGTTCCTCATCAGCCAGACAATTTTGACAGTTTCAACTCCTTGCCAGACAGTTTTTTAGGGTAGCTGCCAAAGCCATGATGACCCAAATGATCCACCAAACATTCTATCCTATATTGGGAGCATACACTGACAAACTTTCAGCTTTAATAAAATGACGTAGGTCTGGCATTTACTAGCTCTTAGTCTATGATGAGTTGAGGTAGGTATTTCTTGTAAAAATGAAACACACCAGTATTGTAAATGTCAACATATGTATTATTTAAACTTACTATATTTACACGATCAGCGACTTACAATTTTTCAGTCTATACCTTAAAAACGCAGTTGCAAGAAAATCATCAAACTTATATTTGAACACTAAAATCAACTTTAATACTAAAGTAATAAAATTACATTTTGAAGTTTGATTGAATCCAAAAAAATACGTATAGGTACAAATTGTAGGCGTTAAGAGGCTACCGTAAGCATAAGGTCGTTTAATAAGATTGTTATCTATTATTTTTTTCTTATAATCAACATTGAAAGGTATTGACGCTTACGGAGGACTATTAACGCTTTACGAAGAAGAGTTTATGCTTTAAACTTTATTTTAAAACAGAAATTGAAAATAATTAATAATAATTATTAATAATTAATTTTATAGAAATTGAAAAGACAAATCATTATAATATGTTAACATAACATTTCAGACTACTCAAAAGTAGATTGACTATGTAAAAAACTGTTAGTTAGGTGTAGATAAGTCAACCAATTTGTCTTATTTATTATTAGAACATTATTTTCTTTATGGGGCCACTTTAATTTGAACCTTACGGGCTTGATTTAATGACTAATTTCATAAACACTTCAAGTTTTTCTATAAAATATTTTTCTGATTAATTTCGTTGCAGGTCCAATGACAGTTTAATTTTCCCCCGGGATAAACTTAACTTTCACTGGTTGGGTTTTTATTGGCGGTCAAGCTGTAGATCCTGGCTACACAGGAGTTGCAGCGGTGGGAACGAGAGGTGGGAATAGTCCCGTATAATATTTGATTTGCGATCAAATTGGTTGACTTTACAATATGTGATTAATTTATTGTTACATAAGCGTGACTAGGGATAAATGGCTATGCTGGAGTATACAATAGGACTTCCAAAAAATATAATAAAATATATTTAGTTTTATTTACCTAATTTAACAGTATGATGGCATCAAAGAACTAAAAGGCATGGATATAGCAAAATGAATCTTACGTAGACGGTTGAGAGGTGATTTTGTATTGATAATTTTTTGTAGTATTTTACTGTCTAAAGCAGAATGATCTTTAACACATATACATGGGATTTATTTTGCAAAGACATTGCTGAGTTAAAACAGTCGAATTGAGAACTTCCTCCTTTTTTGAAATCGGTAAAAAATTAGAAGGCTTAAAATTTTTGGCAGAAAATCTTAGTTAATTTTGAAGTTTCCTGGCATAGTGAGAAAGGATAATAAATAATTAGTTTATTTACTATCTATTGTTGTAACAAATCGTCTATTTTATCATTAACAAAGTGTGTGATCATTCGTTTTATATTTAAAGAGATACAGTAACTGGGTATTTTAGATTTTTACATTTCGTTTAACATCATTAGAAAAAGACTACAGCTATTTTATCACTATGATTATAATGAAAAATGTAGATTTACAAACTTTCCTTTCGCACGGGTTTTGAATTGAACCTTAGTTTTTTGGACTTCTTTCAGATTTTGAAACAATCAAGACTATATTAATTCAAGAAGTATTTACGAAGTTATGGTGCGTTAAAGTTCGGATTGACGTCACAAATTGCTACACTTTTAAGCACTCCTTGACGTCACATTCCTCTTTTTTTAGCTTTGGCGCGCTTTATCTCTTTCAATTTTCATTAGTTTGAAAATGTGAAAAATATGTTTCAAGACGAGCATTTTTTGATAAGTGAACTGACGGACTAATGCCCGTTTTCACCATCAATCCCTATTTTTAAGTCGCCCCTATTAAAACAAAATTCATATTACGAGTTATCATAGGGGTCACTTAAAAATTAGGTATTGATGGTGAAAAGGAGCATAATTCAAACTTGCTTTTTTACATAGGAAACATCCCATTTGTATTATATTTGCAAATAATAATAGAAGTGCAAAAAATGGATTAATCACTGCTATTTCAAGTCTTCGATGTTCCATATCAATTGTTTTAATTCTATAAAGATATAAAAACTGCATGCTGTCAAACTTACTATTACCTACCTATGGGATTTTAATTTTGTATCTACATTTACGAAAACCAAACATGGATCAAGAATCGGTTATAAGTTGAATTTTAATTTCTTATAATACGCACTTTCGACTATACATAAAACACATAATGTGTTTTATTCGTACACGGATGAAGTACACTTCATAATTTCATATCAAACATTAATGAATAATAACTAACTCTAAATAGCGTACTAAACAATAATATACGTAAACGAATCGAATAATTGTTCCCGAATAAAAATAATAAAACTAAAATATGGCATGGTATACTTAGTATATACAACCGAGCGATGGCAACGTTGTGATGTATACAAAATAATAATAATGTCTTTTTCAGTTGAACTAGGAAATAAAAGCAGTCTATGATAATATCACTTAGGGATATGGCTTCACTACATTTATTTTAAAGCTAATAATTAAATTTATGTTTATTTCAATAAATCGAGCCTGACCTGGAAATTTTGTAGGGATTTTTAAAAATATATTTGTATATAAACAACAATATAATGTTTAATTTTAATAATAAAACGCGGAAAGTATACATGTATAACATTATCTTTTGAAATAGGCGGACACGACGAAAATTAACATCACTTCAGTAAAACTATATTCTTTACAATTTTAAAACGAAATTTCATTCTTATCGAATTTCACAATATGTACTTACAAATAATTTATTTACAATATTTCCAGGGCAGACTGGGTTTTATACAAATTCACAGTTATTAGGTGAAATAAGTGATTGACGACTTTAACGCCACACATTTGCGAAATGTATACAAGTAAGTCACGTGTATACAATATACATTGTCCATTCCATAGAGAAGATTGTATGGGTGGCACAATAGTTAGCTGCACAGTCGCAAATTGTATAGCAAAAAGTCGTAATCACTCTCCTCAGAGATGGTGCTATTAGAACATTTATTTTGTCACTAATCAAATTTATAAATAACAGTCTGTACGAAGATTGGCTGGCTACTGAAAACGTACAAGTAGTAAATTTCACATATTTTTCTACTAAAAAGCACACAGACGTTGAACACTAAACGTGAAATTTTTCGTAATACATATTAAACTATGGTTGAGGGTAATAAAAATACATTAATATTATTCATTACCTGCCCTTTTTTTTAACGAAATGTATACAGAATCTTATACATTGAAAGTAGCTGCTCATATAAATACGTTTTCAATAGCCAGCGTGCGTACAGACATACAACCATTGGCGTTCGTTCTAAGATATGTTCAGCCTTTAGGTACATTCATTACTATACGATATTTTACGCTATCATAAATTGAAATACTAGTTGTTCGTAGCTATGTAGTTGGGACAATACGAGAAACCAAACCAAAAATGTATTTATTATTTCATTTGTATACAGTGTTTTATTTTATTTAATTTGTAAACAACCATTTGCATACAAAAATGAATGTAAACATTTTGTAAAATAAACTGTTTTTTACTATTTATGTGAGATTTGGTTTCTCATATTTTCTTACAGATTAGTAGTTATGACACCCGAATGGGATATAGTCAAGTCCGAGTATTAATATGACGTAGTTTTAAATAATATAATAAATTCATTATTAAAATGGCGATATAAAGAAATATTGCACCAGATATGAGAAATACAAAAATATACACAATGATAATTTAATTATTATCCAATTACAAAATTACCAATTAAACTAATTTGTTATGTTCATAATTAAATACTGCTTTAAAACATTATTATATTTTAAACAAAAACATACATAATTATATTTCTTTCTCAATATACATTTATTTTGAACACAGATGAGATGAATTAATGGCGTTTTTATAATATGCGACTTCATTTATGTATACACAATATATACAATTTGATATTGACTCGAAAAAAAATTACATTAATTAAAAATTAACGTCATTTTGTAATTATAAATCCGTTTTTTCGACAGCGACGTAAATTTTAATGTAAATAATAAAAGGTATTTTTATTTAAATAAAATGTCGTTACAATAAAATTATTGTTACAAAACAATTTGATTATTGCTCGTCGTTTTGTTAGTAATTGTTAGTTTTCAATCAGTCGTTTGATATGTTAAACCTTGGTTATTTAAAATTTACTAAAATATCCGAAATCAGCTTGAGAAAACTTAGGTGAAGTAACTTTGAAAAAGTAGTTTTTTTAGCCATCGCCGGCGCGATCATAGGCCAATGACAGGTCGCGTGAACTGTCATTAGGTCACGCGACCTGTCATTGGCCGTCGCGCGATCTGTCATTGGGCTTTGATCGCGCCAGCGATGGCGATTTTCACGCGTTGGTGTGGTTGAAACTTTGTTAGGTTTGTTGAATAGAATCGCGATTGCCAATAAAAAAAATAGTTGCGTGAATGCAAGTCTAACTTTTTGTAATATTGTAAAGGCCATTAGGTATAACAGAGCTGCCAATTTAAACCTCCGTGGTAGAGGTTTTTCTCTTAGGTTTGATTTTCGTTTATAGTTCCAAAATACTGAACTGTCCTATCAATGACATTGACAGCGGGGCGCCACCGTCAATACCGGATCGCTGGTTCCGATTTTTGCCATGTTGGTACCATATAGTTGTACGATGGTACTAGCGCCCCCGTCATTGAGTTTGGTGGGACAGTTCAGCGTGGGTCATCTATAAGTTGGTTTGACGTCTGTCAGTTGAAAAGTGTTCCGTGCAAACGCTGGTGGTTTACAATGACGTTTTTAAAATTTTCAGATTATGTATTATACTTTAGTTAATTTTAAATAACCATTTCCAGATAAGGTATTGAATGGTTGAGTCATTGATCTTGGTGATAACTTCACTTATATTTATTTTTATCATCATCATCAGTTACTTTAGTCTCCACTCTATAACAGAGAATTTATCAATTTTAATTTTACAGTTCATTGGATATTAATAGGTTTATATTAGTCCCAGAACAGACGGTGAAACGCAACTGCAACGAAACTGCAACTGCTAGTTAGTTTTGAGTTGCATCTAAGTTTCTGCCATAGCGTCCGTTGAGAGACCACACATGACGCGACCAGTTTGAAACTTTCAGTTTCAGTTTCATTCATCAGAATCATCAGAAAGTTGCAGTTGCGTTTCACCGTCTATTCTGGGCCTTAGTGTGAGAATCTTTTAAGAGAAGTTTTGAAATTATTCATGAATGTTTTAACTTCTCTATCTACCCTTAATTTCATGCCAAAACTACCCTCAATTTCAAAGGTCCACTATTCAATACCCCTGGGTGAATCAGTCACAGGGCATTCACAAATCATCATCATCATCATCAGTCAAGACGCTTTGGTATCGGTCGATTGGCAAGTCCATATTCTAGTCGATAATATTGTAGTATTACTACTCACGACCCGAGTGTAGGAACCTGGAAAGAAATAGGTATGAAAAGCATGTGTTTAGATTTAGGTAGTCTTATAAAGTTAACGTACCTAGCGAAATAGAGCAACAAAGGACTGAGCGAGCGAGATGGCACTAGCACCAACACTGTGTGATAAAAAGAGATGTGTGATTCGACGTAACAGAACCGTTTAGAGCAATGAGGGCGGCTATCGTTTTTATACTTAACAGTTGGCACCCCTGGCGATTGACAGGACCTTACTCTACAGTGGCGCCATCTTGATGAGTGCAAATGCGATAGTCCTCCTACCACTTTAGCGCTCACCAGTTGGTGCCACTGTCTTCGCTACTAGCAAGTGACAGGACCTTACTCTACAGTGGCGCTAACTGGTGAGCGCTAAAACGATAGCCCTCATTAATTGACAGTTCGTTAGCACTCATTGGCACGTTTGCTTTGAGCTCTCAGATTTTTTCAAATTTTACTTGAGTGAAATCGTTGATATTTATGAGAAATGGTGCTTCAGAAACGTGGTGACTGGTTCAGTGATTGATATTGTTCAAAACAGTGAAATAATCCTGAAAACTCACACACAAATGACATCCAGTGACATCCTAAAATCGGTTTCTTTTGACAGCTCGTGGTTGTTGCTCTATCCAGAAGGAATTTAACTTTATGGGTAGTACGGTAATGTCTTCTAGTTTAAATTCAATCTATTGTTTGTCTTCTAAGTATATTTATAATTAGTCAATATACGGGGTGTCCCAAAATGATACGAAAAAAGTTAACCTTACTCCGGTCTTGCGGCGCAAGCCTTGAAGGGCCCGCATACTTTTCTTAGTAGTAACAGGCCTGTTCATCTCCGCGAGTTTACATCGAAAACAAAACACACACGATGGCCCACCTACAGGATACTATTCGACAAGGCCTCACATACGAGCGAACATTGACTCACGCGTATTCTTGTGTATGACGGAAGAAAATAAAGAAAATGGTGTACTAAATACTGTGCAGTATTTAACTGCCTAAATAATAAAAACACAGAATGTACTTTTTTAAGTTGCCTCAAGACACTGAGAGGTATTTACCTCTACTTATTAACTACTTATTTAAGTAGTTAATATTATTCATGATAAATATTCATGCTAAATCATGTATTTCCTCCGCCATTTTCCGCAGTTTGGCACCTCACGTCACATCATTTTACCGAAGTCAGCCCTATAGCTTCGGCGCAGTGCCGATCACTGACGTTTGTCAACAAAATGGTGCTTGACTCTTGAGACAGGCTAAATTACATCATATTGTGAATGACATTGAGCATATATTTTTTTAAATACCTTCGCGAAGTAAAACTTCTGTACGTAGTACTTATTATTATTCTGTGGTAGTAACTAGATGGCGCTTTATTTAATGTCCAATATATAGTAGTTACACGCTCGTTGAACAGTGTTTTAAAGTGACGTTTAGTATGGAATTGCCATTTTAAAACAGTGTTCAACAACTGTGTAACTTTTTATTAGTAGGGGGTTAGAATACATAATGATAGTTACCCCGGCCTCGCGGCGCACGCGCAGGCTAGGGCGCACAGCACTGCGCACAGCGCGCAGGTGAGTGGCGAACTAAAAGGTCCTACACCTCGCACCACCGCTCCTCCCATATACGCCGCGGAGAGAATCAGCCCGTGCGCTGTACACCTTTGAAAAAAATACACAACCTTATTGACGCACACAAAGAAAGTAAAATAATAAAACTAAAGTAAAATAAGACATCACTTTTAGACAAAGAATTTCCACAAGTTTGGCTCGGCAACTTTGGGGCTATTATATCTTTAGATCTGAGGGCTGAGTGTGTTTACATCAAACGTCGTCACTAGTGAACGCATAAAAAAATGACATTAAATGTATGACGTTATACAGCGCCCCTAGAACCTTTACCTTTACCTTTCAAGAACTAAAATTTTCATACATTTTTTTTAACGCGCTCACTAGTGAGGACGTTTGATGCAAACTCACACTCAGCCCACTGTAGTCGCCACTCGAAATCTTTTCATCACTTCTACGAGTTTTGTGCGTCTACTTATATTGCCAAAATCTTACTTTGCAATGATGGGAACGTGACAACTCATCAGCTAATTAATATAGTGATTTTGAAATTTCGCTGTAGATCTGATCCCATACGTCATAAAGATTTTTGAGTTCGCCTGTGTGAAAAATGTCTTTAGCCAGGTAATGGTTACATAGAACCTATATCAATTTAAACTTTTAAGCTGTCTTGACAGCTATTTTCCGCGAAAACCAATAAAAATAATTTCTATTAAGGGCCTCTTTCCCGATCTCCGAGTAAAGTTCTAAGTAATTACTTCATAATTAACACTATTTAGCAAGTGAAATAAATACTTTAGCGTCAAAGTCTTGTCAGTGTCATAGTTTCGTTGTTCGCACGCATAGCGTTAAATAGAGCTTTGTGATTGGTTCATATGTCATCCTGTGCGTTCATGCTCACTGTGAGACGTCATAGTAACGTTTGTGAATACAGGCGTAAGTCTACTTGATACTTTACTCAGAGATGGTAAACAAAACCTTAAGCCGAATTATACTTACTAACCTTAAATTAGCAGGGTAAGACTCCACCACCTTCACACACACAGTATAGAACACGAGTGTGAGTAGCACTCGGTACGCGCACTCCACCACGTATAGCGCCGTCTCGCTCTCCACGAAGTAGATGGAGGGAGATAGCAGCATACCCGCTGCGCACAGAATCGCTGGAGAGATAAAATAAAAAAAAAATCACTACGTACTTAGTATCGAGCTATACTGTGGCATCATTGTACTTGATTTAACTTTTTAGTTAAAATGTCATTTTAGGGTGGGTTTAAAAAAATCAAGTCGCAATAAATCTTCAAATTGACGGAGATAAAATAAATAAATAAATAAATAAAAACCTTTATTCAACCAAGTTAACAACTTAGACAACATTGCCAGTGGTCCCCAAACTAGGTAACACCTGTCTCTTGGGGACTGGAGTACGAGGCTTGAAGTTAAATGGCGTTGTAAATGCACTTTATACTAGTAACAAAAAATAAGTAAATATTAAACACAATTTAAGTTTGAATTTAAGTTTGAAAAGCCACCTATGCCATCGCAAACACAGAAAAAACCCAATAATATGCCCAATAAGAAAGTCTTTACTTTATGTGTAGGAGACTAGGAGTGTGTGTTTTATGAGAGTGTATGTGTGTGTATATATTATTTATGTGTAAAATAAAGAACGATAGTCCCCTGTCTTGTTAAGATACCGACGACAGCGTATGGTGAGTCCTAACGCAGCAGCACTTAATATAGCGTGCGCAGCATAAGTCTGCTCAGTCAATATCCCCGCCAGTCGTACAGTAAGGTCGGCATGTCCACTCGTCCGGGACTCTCATAATATGACACTATTCAACATGCCATTAGTGCGAGCGTTGTCCTATAGCGTTAAGACAATGCACTCACCGAGAAGTAGCAGCTCCTAGGTAAGGCGGCGGCGTCCTAACGCGGCGGCAGTTAGCATAGCCTGAGCCGCATAAGTCTACTCAGCTAGTATGCCAACTAGGCGCATGGTGAAGTCACCATGTCGCTAGCGTTATCCTATAGCGTTAAGACAATTTATTTACCCAACACGACGCTCCGGTAAGGTAGTAGACCTAACGCAGCTGCAGCTAACATAGCACTTACCAAGAACGACGCTCCGGTAAGGTAGTAGCCCTAAGGCAGCCGCAGCCAACATAGCATGAGCCGCATACGTCTGCTCAGCCAGTATCCCAGCCAGACGCACAGTAAGGTATGATGAACTAAGCAACATAGTAGCTTTGTTCCCCCTTTATGCCCGCGAATCACTAGCGAGCGTTGTCCTATTGCGTTAAGATAATGCACTTACCAAGAACGACGCTGCGATAGGGTAGCAGTCCCAAGGCAGCAGCAGCTAACATAGCATGAGCCGCATAAGTCTGCTCCGCCAGTATCCCAGCTAAGCGGACTGTTAAGTCAGCATGCCTGGCGCATCCAGCGTGCATTCCCCGCACGACGCTAGCGTTGAAGATTGTGAAGAGCGTTGTCCTATAGCGTTAAGACAATACACTCACCCAACACCACGCTCCGGTAAGGCAATAAGCTCAAGTGCGGCTGCAGCCAACATAGCGTGAGCTGCTTACGTCGTTAAGCACGCACCACTCGTCTTGCTCTCTCATATGACGCTTTATTCAACATCCCTTTTTTTTCGACGGGAAAATGCTTGAAACTGCATACTCACTAGCCCGGGGGAGCCAATGAGTTATGTGGGGCTCTCCTCGCTTGAAGGGCACTAGCGCGAGCGTTGTCCTATAGCGTTAAAACAATACACTCACCCAACACGACGCTCCGGTAAGGCAATAATCCGAGCGCAGCGGCTGCTAACATAGCATGCGCCGCATAAGTCTGCTCAGCTACTGACGCTAATACAGAAGCATGCATAGTAGCTTTGTTCCCCCTTTATGCCCGCGAATTACTAGCGAGCGTTGTCCTATAGCGTTAAGACAATACACTTACCCAGAACGATGCTCCTATAGGGTAGCAGTCCTAACGCAGCAGCAGCCAACATAGCGTGAGCCGCATAAGTCTGCTCAGCCAATATCCCAGCTAAGCGGACTGTTAAGTCAGCATGCCTGGCGCATCCAGCGCGCATTCCTCTCACGACGCTCGCGTTGAACACGCACCACTCGTCTAACTCGCGGCCCACCTCCATGTCTGTGTCGATTATGCTGGGAACGAGAGTAAAATAGTAGTTAAAAATAAAACCAGTCAAGTGTGAGTCGGAATCGCGAACAGAGGGTTCCGTACGTTAGTCTATCAACTGCAAATAAAATGTCACGAAAAATTCCTTCTTTTTTCCACGATTTTCGGATTTTATTTATTACCTTTATTTTTGCCACTAGGTCTTTGGGATTAAAGGTTCTGATTCCATTGTAAAGTGTAAAAAAAACAAATAACCGCATTTTGGATCCCGTTGTTTTATTTTTTTTTTACAGTTTTTTCAAGACAGTTATATTAATTTCAGCTTAATACCACCACGCGTTCCTGAGAAAAGGGTCTAAATAGCCAGACGAACGAGACAACTAACGCCCGATTCCCATATTCAATCCTTGTCCAAATCCGGATTACAACTGTCAAATTGAATTCAGTTTTAGATTATATTTCCAAAATGTTCGACGCATTTACACTTTAGTATTGTTTAAATCGTCTTATAAACAATATAAAAATGTAAAAACATCAAAAACCGCAGATATTTTGGCCAAAAACATTTTAAAATTTGACAGTTGACAATCCAAATCCGTCCAATTTGGATTAAGATTGAATCAGGCCTGTTCATCTCCGCGAGTTTGCATCGAAAACAAAACACGTGCGACTACCCCTCCTGAGGTACCTAATCGACAGGACAATCACGAGCGAGTATTGACGCACGCACGTATTCTTCACCCATTTGCATTGTAAAGACAATAAACAATTTGTAAAAACGATGGTGTAATTAATACTCTGCAGTATTTTTAATTGCCTGAATAATATTAGAAACACAAAATATAATTCAATCTTATTCATGTATTTCCTCCGCCATTTTCCGCAGTTTGGCACCTCATGTCACACATCATTTTCGAAGTCAGCCCTATGTCTTCGGCGCAGTACCGATCACTGACGTTTGTCAACAAAATGGTGCTCGACTCTTGAGACAAGCTAAATTACACCATATTGTTAACGACATTGAGCATATATTTTTTTAAATACCTTCGCGAAGAAAATCTTCTGTACGAAGTACTTATTATTATTCTGTGATTGAATATAGAAATCCAGCATAAGTGATCCTAAAAGGTTTCATTACTTTTGAATTACGGAACCCTTAAAAGGAGACATGTATAACTCACGTGCTGTTATAAAACAGGCAGCCCTCGAAGTACGTGTACGAAGTCTTGATGTTGGAGAACGCCACGCCTGTGAAGGTGCAGTTTTTGAACAGCACTCGCGCCATCAGCATATCCTGGAATTAAAGATTTTCGTTTTTAAACGGGAATATTAACAAACAGACTACCCGTTTCTTCAAATATTTCATCAAGTCAGGCTAATCATAAAATTAATTACTATAACCACCCACCGAATTAATCTGTCAATCCTTCCGCATGCGTATTACAGACCTTAGCAAGTTTTACAACAGATCTTTATTCAATATTTGCGCAAGACAGTTGCGAGCGTTGTCCTATAGCGTTAAGACAATCACAATCACTCACATGACGCGGCGATACGGCAACAGTCAAAAGGCAGCAGCAGCTAACGTGGCAACGCGACTGCTACGCCAAAGAATGACAGCGTCACGTTCAATTACAGGTGGCACTAGTTACCCGACTGTGCCATAAGGAGGGTTTTATTTTTTATATTAAATTTTTGCAGTCGCGTTGCGATTGTACGATTAGTATCCAGTTGCTATGATTCATAAAACCCTACCGGTGTTTTGATAAGAAGCCGCAGGCTCCACTCTTGGTGGTGTTCTTTTGACGTTACTGTAAGGATTTTCGCGTATAAGGAGCGCCTTTCTGAATACCTTTATGGACTGAAGAGATTTCTCACGTTGAGTCAATTTAAATGGTCTCCAAAATCATCTCACCTTGAAGGTGCACTTGTCGAAGACAGCGTTCCGGTACTCCACGTTGCTCAAGGTGTCGTTGAAGTGGTGGCTCTCCCACGTCATGTTCTGCTCCGTCAGCCTCGAGGCCGCGAATAGGGCGTTCTCCATCTGGTCGACCGTCGTCGGCACGTAGGACGATAGGTAGAACTGGAGGAATAGAAAAGAAGTCGTTAAAATCTATACTACCCGTTTGCGCTAAGTTTGCCGGTCCGTGGAATGCGCGTCCCCTCCCCCAACCGCGATTAAACGCAATTAGTTAGTGATTAAACGCAATTAATGTGTCTTATTTTACGCAAATACACAATTTTTATTACTAACTAGCGGCCGCCCGCGACTTCGTACGCGTGGATCCCGTTTTACCCCCTTTTCCCGAATTTTCTTTACTATAAACCTCACGGAGCCCGAGACCTTTCCAACGAATGCAAAACCGTGGAACCGAATCGTGGTTCGTGCGTTCTGGAGTTATAGCGTCAGGGAGGAAAACCCGACTTATTTTTATATAGTAGATAATAAATAAAAAATATTTTAAATATAGTTAGTTATAGTTATAGACGCTTATCTTCGAGTGACGTCATATCGCCAGCAGCAAACTTAAAGCGAACGGATAGTACGAAACGAAGCACAATTTAAGTTTTAAAGTAAAGAACGTTTCGTCCACGAAGACGCGCCCCACCATCCTTCCGCTAATGTTTGAGTGTTATCGGTACACGCTAAATTATCCACTACGATACGATCAGTTACGAATTTATGGTGCGTTGAAGTTCCGTCTGACGTCACGCCGAGCTACAAACGTAGTGACGTCACTGGTCCCTACTTTAAGCTTTGGCGCGCTTTGTAAATTTTCGTTGATTTGATTCAGCGAAAAATACGTATCGGGTATTTTTTGATAAGTTAACTGACGGCCTAAAGCCCGGTTTCACCATCAATCCCTATTTTTCAAGAGACCCTTTGGAAAACAAAATGTTATGTGTTACCATTATTCAAACTACATATTGCTCTTTTACCATAGAAAATCCCTTTTCAAAGTTTTCAGGACAAAAAATGTGTATTTAACCGTTCAGTTCAGTCAGTACAAACAGTTCTTACCTGTACAGCTGTAGTGAAGAGCAGTATCCCTCCTAATGACAGCGTTGTACTCCTGTATGCACTCGAAAACAACTGGAAAAACGCCTGCCAGAACTGGAAAAATAAAAATTTTCAAGTTATTAGCGTAGCTAGTAAAATTTCGGCGTGTAAATACACAGCGTGCTATGAAGAGGGCTATGCTCGGTATCGAATCAGAAATGAGGAGATCCATAAACGAACTAAAGCCGCTGACTCAGCCCGACGGATTAGCAACAGATTACACATTATTACAGTGGACAGACGACCTCATAAAGGTGGCAGGAAGGCGCTGGATGCAGGCCGCTACCAACCGGCCAATCTGGAAATTATTGGGAGAGACCTATGTTCAGAGGACGTCCTGTGCCTGAAATGTTAATATCTCACCATTGTACCATTTTATCTCACCTGTGCCGGAGCTAGAAAGTACCCCACTTACTTCGGTTGCAGTAATGGTTACTAGAAGGGCCACAGTGGCGGTATAGGCAGGTGAAAGTGTTATAGTGGTGGTTATAGACAGCTAGTAGTGCTACAGTGGCGGTATATCTCACCATCTTAACACTATGCCTGAGAGAGAGCTCGCCCAACCGGTACTCAGAGTTGGTTTTGTAGCTAGAATCTTAAGGGTTATAGCGGTGGTATATCAAACCATCTTGACGCTGTGTATGACGTGGTGCAGGGAAAGCTCGGAGTTGGTGTTGGTAGCTAGAAGATTTATAGTGGTGGTGTGGGCAGCTAGTAGTGTTACAGTGGTGGTATATCTGACCATCTTGACGCTGTGTCGGAGCTAGAAAGGACCCCACTTACTTCGGTTGCAGTAATAGTAGCTAAAAGGGTTACAGCGGTGTTACAGTGGTGGTATAGGTAGATAGAAGGGTTACGTGGCGCACAGATAGCCTCCCCCAGCCGGTATACGAAGTTGGTGTTGGTAGCTTAAGTGTTACAGTGGTGGTATATCTGACCATTTTAACGCTGGGCCCATGTGGTGCAGAGACAGCTCGAAGTTTGTGTTGGTAGCAAAAACCTTAAGGGTTACAGTAGTGGTATAGGCAGCTAGTAGTGTTACAGTGGTGGTATATACTGACCATTTTAACGCTGTGGCGCACGGCACTCGGAGTTGGTGTTGTACCTAGAACCTTAAGGGTTACCGTGGTGATACAGGCAGCTAGAAGGGGTACAGCGGTGTTACAGTGATAGTATAGGCAGCTAGAAGGGTTACCGCGGTGTTGAAGTGGTGGTATAGGTAGCTAGAAGGGTCACAGCGGTGGTACAGGCAGCTAGTAGTGCTACAGTAGTGGTACATCTCACCATCTTAACACTATGCCTGACGTGATGCAACGCGGGCGGGCGACGTTTGCCCGGTAGAGATAATTCGCCCAACCGATATTCAGAGTTGGTGTTAGCGGCCGCTACGTTGGCCTTCCCGCATATGCGAATCTGGTTACCGCTGTGGATGTTCTGCGAACAATTATTGATGTTTTTAATGTTGAATTAAAAAGCACGATGAAAAATCTTAGGATGTATATCATAAAAATACTTTATTATACATCATCACCATCATCATCATCATTTCAGCCACAGGACGTCCACTGCTGAACATAGGCCTCCCCCAATGACTTCCACATCGCACGGTTGGTAGCGGCCTGCATCCAGCGCCTTCCCTTTCTTATACATACACATGAAAATTAAACGAATACAATTGATAAAATGGTGCCAGCTCAGTTTTAATCGAGACATCCTAACAGGATGTCTACCTGCATGCCAAATTTCAGCCCGATCTGTCCAGTGGTTTGGGCTGTGCGTTGATAGATCACTATGTCAGACAGTCAGTCAGTCACCTTTGATGTATATTTAGATTAATTATAATATACACTAGATAATTGTAATACTTCTTGTACAAACTGAAGATGTAACTAATTTTATATGTCTGCTTTGTAACTAATTTTAAAAGGCATGGTAATTTTAGTTTCTCACGCACCTGCACCTTTAGGATTTTATTGTCGGAATGTTAAACTCAAGCCTTTTTAGTGTTTCGCCGACGTAACATGTGGCTTATTAGTCCATTGAATTATTGTAACTATGTATTGAGAAACACTAACCGTTGTAATGTCTATCTATTGTTATACTTTCACTTTGTATTGTTTGTGCCAACCTTTGCCATGTGTTTCATGCTAATTATTTTGTGTGTACCTTCGTGTTATTTTCACTTTTTACGTTTGTTACCTGAAAAGTGAGTGTGCGAGCGCGACAGCAATATAATTACACGCGAGCGATAAGGATGGGTGGCTTGGGGTCATTGGACGAAATTCTGCCTGCTCGGCGATCGGACTATAGTCAGTCAGTACGCAACCTCGGTACCGGTCGGACGCCTTGAAAGCCCATCCACGCTTACACAATTAGTTACCGTCTCACCAGTCTATATGAAATTTTATTTGTAAAAACTTACGAACCCAGCAACCCGAGTATAGAGCGGTTAGTAGTGCGTGGTATTTTCCGTTCGACTTTTTTTCCGCACTCGCGTGTTAATTTTTATATATTTTATAATCATAAAATGGAACATCAAAATATGGAAAGAAAACCAGCCCAGAAAAGAGTCCGGTCTTCAAACTGGGATGAAGACAAAAAGGTATTTTCATATTTTATATTTAAGTTTAGTACGTATTTACTATTTTGTCTAGCTGCTACCGCTGCTGGTCATCAAAATCCCTATTTCAGGGTTCATTTTTCCATCGTCAGTTATCTTTTAACTGAAGAATAAGCTTGTCATTTTGATATATTTCCCATACTAAAACTGTCAATGTGCCAAAGGACAATGATCAAAAGTGGTCCAAATGTCCACCACCAATAAGACCTATATTGGCTTATAGTCCATTAAATAGAGATTAACTTTCAGTATGGGATGAAAAAAAAATAAGCTGTCAGTTAAAAGTTAAGACTGTTTGAAAAATTGTAGTAGTTTACGCGCTAATCTCAGGAACTACTGGTCCGATTTGAGAAATTATTTTTGTTATGGATAGCCCATTTATCAAGGATGGTTTTAGGATAAATAACATCACCCTACAACTAATAGGGGCGGATCAGTAATGACAAATGTTGTAAAAATGAGAAATATTGTTCAAACTATTTTCACGCGTACAAAGTCACAGCTAGTATAATATTTAATAAAATTCAACTATAACCCCGTGCCACAAATGCGACATGGCATATCATGCGTAGATTAGTCCAAAATGTGCAATGGATAGAATGATATCAAGAACATTTTTCGGATGAAAAGGTAAAAAACAGACTTTTCGTTCAGTCATAACTTTTTACTGACAGCATATTTTTGATTGCGGTTTGGTTATAATGAATCAGTATTTAGTAGACTATTTTACTACATAGGTCTCATTAGTGGTGGACATTTGGACCACACTCCATACATTTTTGGTCATTGTTCTTTACTTATTCTTCAAAAATAAAATCAGCCCATAATCACAGTATTTACCTACATCAGTAATTGGCTTTTCTAGAGGGTTGAATGGATTTGTAGAAGTACTTATTTCTGAAACTTTTACTTTTTTTAACCGACTTCTTCAACAAAAGAAGGAGGTCCTAAAGGTTGTTTTTTTTTTTAATAAATGTACACCGATTACGCCGAGGCTTCTGAATCTAATCCGATTTCCGAGATTCTCGACTCCGAGAATATCAATCATGGTCATTTATACCTATTTGTTCTAATAAATAAATAACGTAATTATCTTTCTGAATTTTAGTGTACTTTTTGGAGTAGTTATAGTTTTAGAAGTCGGTTTTTAAACGCATTTTTTTTTCATTTCTTGTTTTTTTTTTTCAGAAGGCATATTATGAAAAGCGATTGTTTTTACTTGCGAAAAAATCAATTAAAAACAAAGAAAAACGAGAGGAGGAACTGCACAAGAAAAGAATGATAATTTTGGATTTAGAACAGAAATATTGGGAGAAAAAGTTAAAGAATGAATAAATAAAACTGTATTTTAAAGAAACTGTATTAATTCATATTCATCATTAAAGGTAGTTTTCAATATGTAAATTCACTTTCTATTAACCTTTATTAATTTAACGATTGTTGTAACTCTCAAATTACATGCCATATTTGGAGTAATTATAATCCCCAAGAAAAAATGTAAAAAAATTACCACTGAAATAGAATAAACTTGGCTTGTTTTTTGCTCAAAAAAGTTAACTTGAAATAGTGTTTTGTAAAATGTTGGCGAAAATGATACACTGACTTCGTTTCGACTTGATGATGTAAATAATTTACGTGTTTCACGTGTCATTTTATTCACTAAGATAAGTGCTTAGAATATAAGAATAAATATGTTTCTGGTAATATGGGCTATGTTATTGGAACCCTTTTCTTAGGTTTCAGTCAGTTCTGATCCGACGCTGAACTTGACAGCTATTAAAGCAATCACTCAGACGTTGTTTAACACTAATTATCGTTTTTAAGTATTATTTAATACTGTTAAACTGCGTCTTAATTTTAATAAACATCCAAAGGTGACTGACTGACTGCCATAGTGATCTATCAACGCACAGTCCAAACCACTGGACGGATCGGGCTGAAATTTGGCATGCAGGTAGATGTTACGAAGTACGGCCAATTAGCAGCAATACAAAAGGTCGATTCAACTGTCGAACTGACAATCTATTCTGTCTCTTCCCATTTTGTGTATTTGTCGTAATGTCTCGTTCTCTCGCCAAAATATGTCAAAGTCAAACCCCTGCTATTCCAAATGACCATGACATTAGGTTTGTTTACATTTGGTATCGCTTCTCGTTGGCCGTACTGTAGGCATCCGCTAAGAAAGGATTTTACGAAACTAAACCCCTAAGGGGGTAAAACGGGATCCACGCGTACGAAGTCGCGGGCGGCCGCTAGTTTATAAGTAAGGCTGATAAAATTTACGGGAAATATTATTCAAACTATTTTAACGTGTAGATAGATAGATAGTTAGATAAATGGTTTATTTGCAAAACAAATTGACACACAAGAAGCAAAAAGTAAGATTAATAAACACAGGATTAGCAGGAAAGATATAGTACATTACAAAGAGTAAGAAAGAAAATCCTGCGCCCTCTAAGGTATAAGTGTGCCGCAGCGATGCAAAAAAGCAGAGAGCTCAGTGTAGACACTGCTCTAAAATGAGCAGAACACTGATTTTCAGCTCTTGCTTGAAAAAAAGAAGGAAGACGCACGAGAATGGTACAGAATAAGGTGGTGAAAATGTTGTACAATTGTAAACCTACATAAATATCAGAAATTATCAGTGTACGGGCAGATAGCTAATGATACAAGAAATGGGTTAATTTCAAGCTTTTCCGTTGGTATTGACAGTTAAACCTACCTGATAAACCAGCATGGCGTCGACCTCGCGGCCTACGTCTAGCAAATACCGCGGCGACTCCTGCGTCCAGATCATGCTGACCAGGCTGGACACGATCGGCAGCGTGCAGAGGAGGAGGTAGCTGTGGACAATCGATTAGACTCAATTTCATTAATGAGTTTATGTACATTTATTTAAGCTTTAAAGCCACACAATATGGTACTTAAAGGGAACTTATAAATCCATTCAGGTGATTAAAACGTTTCGTTTGATGCACCCAACTTACTACGAATAAAAATATTAGGTTGTAAGAATCAATCACTTTTGAATGGACTATAATATTTTTTTTAAGATCTGTAATTACAATGACAACAGATTATTTGCTGCTATAACAGAAAATAAATTAGTTTTCACAAAACAAAATTATTTTCCCTTGTGGCAGCAAACAATTTGTTGCCATATCAATAATAGCTCAATATTGTTTTTAAACTTTCGCGATCCATTTAAACTAAAATAGTAAGACCGTCAAGCCGTGAGTACATAATGTAACTCATTAATAAACGTCGCGTTAAGAGCCGTGTCTTACTATTTTAGCTCAAGCAATATTGTAACAAAACAATACATTAAATTGTAAGAGAAATTGGGTCTTAGGCTTACATCTAATATGGTGATAGGAGAGAAGTAAAACACTTAAAAGTGACGTCAAAAAGAAGGTTGGTTCGTTCGGTTCAACTAAATGACGTCGACTAAGGCCTCCCCCAAGGATTTCCTGCGCTACCCGCATCCAGGTACTTCCCGCGACCTTCACTACATCGTCGGTTCCCCTAGTGGGAAAGAGAGAATAATTAACCTAAATTACGTTTTTCGGGCCCGTGGTCACTCAAAAATTTTTCTGCCCAACGGCCATCTACGAGCTAAAAGGAAGGTTGCCTTCAAGATATTTTCGTAAACAGCGTACCAAATCACAACAGATACAAACCATAAACACGAATGTCACATAGCGTAGTACACACTTCCGTGTAACACGCGCAATCGTAATACATAACACGTAAATTTCACATTCACGTGGCACGCGCAGAACAAGACTTATGCGTGTTACACGCAAAATATTAAAGGCAAACCCATCGTAAACACAAAAATAGCTGCGGAAGAGAGGGCTAAAAAAAACAAAGACCTAATAATAGGCAGGATAATCAGAAGTGATGATCTTCAATCAATGTATTCTTGACGACATTGCTAAAGCACCACAGGCATTTCCGAAGGCGGCGGCGACAGGCACTGTATACGCACTCGCACGTGCGTATACAGTGCCTGTTACGCATCTTAGCACCGTTGGTTTACTCACCGCTGCCAAGCAAGTGTCGATGGTCTCCAACGGCAGCAAAAGCAACGAGTGAGATAGGGCACAGAGAGGGAGAAAGAGCGTTAACAAGAGAGAGAAAGGAAAGGAGAGAGGGAAAAAGAAGGGGGGAGGGAGAAAGGGAGACGGAAAAATGGAGTGCATGAGAGAGATGAAGGAAATTAGGCAGAAACAATTGATCTTTGTAAAAACTCACCGATGCCACGCACTGAAGTGCCGTCTGTCCTCCAATAACGTCGTTTCCCCAGTCGGCGGTAACACAGCCCTCGCCAGAGCGGCGGCGGCGAGCGTTCCGGCGGCGGCGGCGGCGAAATGCGCGTGGTACACACTCGGATAGACACGCGTATTAAAATTACTGAGTTTCTTTCGCGAGTGAACTCACCATAAATGTGTAGCCACGGAGTCTCGTTGGTCGACGGCAGCACAAGCACAAGTAACAAGGAGTGTGAGAGAGAGAGAGAGGGCGAGAGGAAGAGTGTGTGAGAAGGAGAAGGGGAGGGAGAAAAGGAGAGGGAGAAAGGACAAGTGTGTGAGAGAGATGAAGAAAAAATAAATTAACTTTGTAACAACTCTCTAGGAATTCTCGCACCTCTGGTCAATGGCAGCACAAGACAGAGAGAGGGAGAAAGGGAGTGTGAAAGAAAGATTTTTTGGCAAAAGTATCAGAAGAACTCACCGATGCCAAGCGCTGAAGTGCCGTCTGTCCTCTAATAACGTCGTTTCCCCAGTAGGCGGTAACACAGCCCTCGCTAAAGCGGCGGCGGCGAGCGTTCCGGCGGCGGCGGCGAATCGCGCGTGGTACGCACTCTGATAGATACGCGTCTTAAAGCTACTGAGCTTGCTAATATAAACATTTCTATGGTGGAAACACTCACCTTTTCACAGTTTCGCTAGGAATTATCGCATCGCTGGTCAACCGCATCAAAATAGCGAGAGGGAGAGAAAGGGAGAGAGAGAGGGAGAAAGGGAGAGAGAGAGAGGGAGAAAGGGAGAGAGAGAGAGGGAGAAAGGGAGAGAAAGAGAGAGAGGGAGAAAAAGAGCGTGTGAGAGAGAACGAATTTATTGACAAAAGTATCAGAAGAACTCACCGATGCCAAGCACTGAAGTGCCGTCTGTCCTCTAATAACGTAGTTTCCCCAGTCGGCGGTAACACAGCCCTCGCTAAAGCGGCGGCGGCGAGCGTTCCGGCGGCGGCGGCGGCGGGCAGCGCCGGTAACGCGCGGATAGATAGGCGACTAGCTTACTTACACATTCTAGTAGAAAGCAGTGGATACTCACCGCTGCTAAGCAAATGTCGATGGTCGCCATGTTTCTAACAACGTAGTTTCATGGTCAGCAGCAGCAAAAGCAATCGCAACAAAAGAAAGAGAGAGAGAGAAGGAGAAAGGGAGAGGGAGAAAGGGAGAGCGAGAAAGGGAGAGGGAGAAAGGGAGAGGGAGAAAGGGAGAGGGAGAAAGGGAGAGGGAGAAAGGGAGAGGGAGAAAGGGAGAGGGAGAGAGGGAGTGTGTGAGAAAGATGGAAGAAAACAAGTGCTTTTTGTAAATACCGATGCCAAGCACAGATTTGTCGTCTATCCTCCAGCAGTGTCTAAAGAGAAAGGGAGAAAGGGAAAGTTGTAGAAACAAGAAGTGACCTTTGTAAAACTCACCGATGCCACGCACTGAAGTGCCTTCTATCTTCCAACAGTGTCGTCTCTCCAGTCGGCGGTAACACAGCCCTCGTTAAAGCGGCGGCGGCGAGCGTTCCGGCGGCGGCGGCGGCGGGCAACGCCGGTAACGTGCGACGGCGACACGCGCGAGGCACGCACTCTGATAGGTACGCGTAGGAAGTGGCTACTATGCCGCCGGAACCGATGGCTGAGCAGAAGCTATCTTAATAGCACTTAGCTTGATAATGCTGACACTTCTCTGGTGGAAACACACTTACCGTTTCATAGTAAGTTCTCTAGCACCTCTGGTAAACAGCAGTACAAGCAACAAAAGAGCTAGAGAGAGAGACAGGGAGAAAGGGTGAGAGAGAGAGAGAGAAAGAGAGGGGAAAAGAGAGAGAGGGAGAAAGGGAGAGGGAGAAAGGGAGAGGGAGAAAGGGAGAGGGAGAAAGGGAGAAAGGGAGAGAAAGAGAGGGAGAAAGAGAGCGTGTGAGAGAGAAAGAATTTTTTGACAAAAGTATCAGAAGAACTCACCGATGCCAAGCGCTGAAGTGCCGTCTGTCCTCCAATAACGTCGTCTCCCCAGTCGGCGGTAACACAGCCCTAGCCAGAGCGGCGGCGGCGAGCGTTCCGGCGGCGGCGGCGGCGGGCAGCGCCGGTAACGCGCGGATGGATAGGCGACTAGCTTGCTTACACATTCTAGTACAAAGCAGTGGAAACTTTCCGCTGCCAAGCAAATGTCGATGGTCCGTAGTCTCATGGTCAGAGGGAAAATGGGAGAGGGAGAAAGGGACAGGGAGAAAGGGAGGGTGAGATAGGGAGATTGAGAAAGGGAGAGGGAGATAGGGAGATTGAGAAAGGGAGGGTGAGATAAGGAGAGGGAGAAAGGGAGGGTGAGATAGGGAGATTGAGAAAGGGAGAGGGAGAAAGGGAGGGTGACATAGGGAGAGGGAGAAAGAGAGGGGGAAAATAGGAAGAAAGTGGGAGGGCGAAAGGGAGAGGGAGAAAGAGAGCGTGTGAGAGGGAACGAATTTATTGACAAAAGTATCAGAAGAACTCACCGATGCCATGCACTGAAGTGCCGTCTGTCCTCTAATAACGTCGTTTCCCCAGTCGGCGGTAACACAGCCCTCGCTAAAGCGGCGGCGGCGAGCGTTCCGGCGGCGGCGGCGGCGGGCAGCGCCGGTAACGCGCGGCGGCGACACGCGCGTGGTACACATTCTGATAGGTACGCGTAGGAAGTGGCTACTATGCCGCCGGAACCGATGGCTGAGCAGAAGCTGTGGGAAGAATAAAATGGTTGAATAATGGCACGAAATGATTTGAAAAGCAAGAGAGGAACATATACCTAAATTACGTTAGGAATTTCGGAACTCTTTAACGTTTGTCTTTTGTTGCAAGGCTTCCATTACTTTCCATTCTCGAGTTCTTAAACCCCAACGACCGTCAGTTTTAAAGCAAACTGTCCATCTATTTGTTCTATTCGTGACTATTCCCACGTCAATATTGCGAACCCTCAAGTTCTTTATTTAATGACTGACTAATCCTTTTTCCATCCAGTCAGCGAGACATAAATAAATGCCATCTATCGCACTTACCGCGCCATCATAAAAGTAGTGCAGTAATGTAGGCATGACGGCCGCTATGGCGACAAACACGGCGTTGACGGCGAGACACGATAACAAATTGCGACGGCCCAGGCGATTCCTAGAGACAGTACACAACAACCAACGTCATCTATTACTAACCGCGCCATCATAAAGGTGCCGTAAGTAGGCATGACGGCNCAAATTGCCACGACCCAGGCGAATCCTAGAGATAGTACATAGCAACTAAGTTCAACCAATGTCATCTATTACTAACCGCGCCATCATAAAGGTGCCGTACGTAGGCATGACGGCCGCTATGGCGGCGAACACGGCGTTGACGGCGAGACATGATAGTAAAGTGCGGCGACGACCCAACCGCTCGCCTGAATCCTAGATGTCTCTAGTATTGTGTACTAAAGACTTGTGTACTATAGTACACTGTAACCTACGTCACTTATAGCTAACTCGCTGCACTCACCGTGCCATCATAAACGTGCCGTACGTAGGCATGACGGCCGCTATGGCGGCGAACACAGCGATGACGGCGAGACACGACAACAGAGTGCGGCGACGCCTAACCACTCGTTTGAGTCCTATACTATAGTATATAGCAACCAACGCCACCTATAGCTATAGTTGACACTGCACTTACCGTGCCATCATAAAAGTGCCGTACGTAGGCATGACGGCCGCTATAGCGGCGAACACGGCGTTGACGGCGAGACACGACAACAGAGTGCGGCGACGACCTAACATCTCGCCTGTGTCCTAGATGCCTCTAGTAGTGTACTAGAGACTTGTGTACTATAGTACACAGTAACCTACGTCACTAATAGCTAACTAGCTGCACTCACCGCGCCATCATAAAAGTGCCGTACGTAGGCATGACGGCCGCTATAGCGGCGAAGACGGCGTTGACGGCGAGACACGATAGTAGAGTGCGGCGACGGCCCAACCGCTCGCCTAGCGGGCCCCAGCCGGCCGCGCCTAGAGACGAGCCCACTAGGCTGATGAGAACTGGAAAAAATAACAATAATTAATTACCATCATTTAAGCCACGGAAACGGATACACTAAGGTACAGTCGCAGAATGAAAAGGTTCGTCACCTTAGTGTCGGTTTTCGTTTGCATTAGGTACTGTAAGAGTCAAACCTGCCAACATAACAGTGCAAGAAACAGTGCTGCTAACATTGAAATAAATATGACGTTTGCTAACGAATAAGGTTTTGCTTGTTTATTTTTCTATCCCATCAGTGCAATGCAATGATGACATTGACCAATTGACAATAGTTTTTTTTTATTTAATAGAAATAATAATGGCAGTTTGAACCAACAAGAAGGTTTTAGTTTATCAATCATAATAATCTTCTTGACAAGATAAATGGTCAAACAACTTTGATCTGAATAATTTTGAACTTTACTGACGAACAGTTAAAGATTATTTTCTCTAACTCAAGATTATTCTGTAACATAGTTTCAAAAGGTAATATGTGCTCGCGATTCGTTGAAGGAATCAATTTGAAATCTGACGAACCTTTTCATTCCGTGACTGTACAACTGGAGTAACTTTACACTGAACAACTACGTGATGTTCCCGGGAACAATGCGGGTTTCGCAGAGCGTCAACACGAAACATGTCCCGGGACACGTAGAATGTTATGCAAAACAGGGATAGTTTATGAACGTTGCTGCAACATGTACAATCTAAGTTGCACTGTTTTTTTCCTTCTTTTTTGGGTGACTTTCTTGGGAACCATCATTTCGCCAATGTCACGGATTACTTGATGCTGTACTTGCGTGACGTGTGCTGTCATTTGCAAGTCTTCATCCGCTAGTATATTCGCGTGCGTGTCTCTTAAAAATCAAGATAAAAACTGTTTTTTTTTCAATCCCAACTAATATTATAAATGCGAAAGTAACTCTGTCTGTCTGTCTGTCTGTTACGCTTTCCCGCTTAAACCTCGCAACCGATTTTGATGAAATTTGGCATAGAGATAGTTTGAGTCCCGGGAAAGAACATAGGATAGTTTTTATCCCGGTTTTAGAAACAGGGACGCGCGCGATAAAGTTTTTCTGTGACAGACAAAATTCCACGCGGGCGAAGCCGCGGGCGGAAAGCTAGTTATAAATAACTAGAAAAAATCGAACTGCCTAAGGCGGGAATTGAACCCACGACCTTCCGCTTGCCGGGCGACTGCTCTTCCAACTTTGAAACAACAGTTTGAGATGCGACTCTTAACGCTAAAAATTAAATAACTATAAAAACTGTTGTTGAAATCGTGAATTGTTGTGTTATAATATGTTGTGGAAATCCTTGGGGGAGGCCTTTGTCCATTTGGCTGAAGCGGACGGACACAGTATGATTGTCAGACTGTGAAGATGCTCACCAAGCCAGTTCTTCTCATGGCGCAGTATGCATAGTTCGATCTCAGCAGAGGGCAGCACGAATAGACTAAGAGCTGGTGAACGGCAGACCTACGTCATTTTATAAAAGCTGAAAGTTTGTCACCGTATGCTCCCAATATAGGTTAGAATGTTGGTGCATCATGAAGTTTGGGTCATCGTGGCTTCGGCAGCTACCCTAAAAAGATTGTCTGGCAAGGAGTTGGAACTGTCAAAACTGTCTGGCTGTTGAGGAAACTACTCGTTCTGTCGCTTTATTGGTGTTCTAAATATGCTTTTCATCATATCAGCCATAGAACGTCCACTGCACACAGGCCTCCCCCAATGATTTATATTGGACGGTTGGCAGCGGCCTGCATCCAGCTACTTCCAGATCTTTGTTGTCCCATCGTCCAGCGCCTTCCTGCTACCTTTGTGACGTCTGTCCATTTTGTCTAGGCGCGGATCCAGCCCTCAAAAAAGGTTGTGGGCACAGCCACCAAAAATTAGCAAAGTAAGAGTTGGATTGGAGTACGAACTCACTCACGCTCAATCACGCTCGATTTTTAAAGGCTCTTCAGTCAGCCGTTTTTATCATCAGCCTATAGATCTTATCAATAGATCATAATTAAAACAAGCAAATTAGGGTTGTGGGCATGCCCACAGTGTCCACAACGGTGGATCCGCGCCTGATTTTGTCTTGACTTACTCGACTTAAGGTCCTATGTCCCCTAGATGGGGCAGAGGGCGTCCACAACAGTCCTCCATCGCGTTCGGTCTTGAGCTTCGCGTTTGATCTCGCTCCAGGTCTTGCCGATCTTCTTCGCCTCGTCTGCTAAGTTTGCTTGGGGCGACCACTTTTGTCATTTTTTTGTGGTGGACGTCTTACGCTGCCACGTACCGCTTCCATTCCAGATCTTTGCTGCCCCGTCGGCAGTCATTTCTTCGTGCATTGTTGCTGAATTGTGCTCTAAATAAGCTAATTAATTAAAGATGCTCACCAAGCCAGTTCTTCTCATGGCGCAGTATGCATAGTTCGATCTCAGCAGAGGGCAGCACGAATAGACTAAGAGTGACCGCCAGACATATGTCATTTTATAAAAGCTGAAAGTTTTTCAGCATGGAGGATAGGTTACAATGTTGGTGCATCATGAAGTTTGGGTCATCGTGGCTTCGGCAGCTACCCTAAAAAGATTCTTCTTCTTCTTTTTTTCGTGTCGACAACAAACCTACACAGTGTCAGCCCAAAAGTCCGCCACAAGAGTGGCGTTGTCAGTAGCACTCATCAATTCCTCCTGAGTGCAGTTGTTTGGGCACTCAGTGCATGGCATCAGGTGCTTCATCGACTGGGGAACAAAACCGCACCTGCACTCCATGCTCAAGCCATCCAAGAATCCAATCTAAAAAGATTGTCTGGCAAGGAGTTGGAACTGTCAAAACTGGCTGATGAGGAAACTATTCGTGCTGTCTCGTGCCCTATTTATAAGACCAATACAGCATTGGTTTTATAAATAAGCTAAATTAATTAAAGATGCTCACCAAGCCAGTTCTTCTCATGGCGCAGTATGCAGAGTTCGATCTCAGCAGAGGGCAGCACGAAGGGAATGGCCGCTAGCTCCAGCGCGTTTCCGGCTACCGCCAACGCCGTAGCTAGAGCCACTTTGGCCTGGTATGGGCCACAGCCGGCCTGAAGACAGAACAAATTAAATTGTTTTTATTTCAGGGGTAAAAATAAGTTAGTAAGGACAATTAAACAGTCATCATCATCATTAATTAAGGCAGGAAGGCGCTAGATGCAGGCCGCTACCAACCGAGCGATGTGGAAGTCATTGAGGGAGGCCTATGTTCAGCAGTGGACGTCCTATGGCTGAAATGATGAATTAAACAGTCAAAAACCTCTTTAGGTGAATTGAAAAATTAAAGAACCACATGCGGTCGAACTTTTTATCCAGTTATTCGGCTTCCTGCGGTCGTCAGTTATCGAGTAGGACGTACATTTCCTCCTTTAGCAGCTACCAAACACCCCCGTTTCTAGTGACCAAAAGACGACTGGCCAGACGGAGCCGCCACTGGCCAGACGGAGCCTCTACTGGCCAGACGGAGCCGCCACTGGCCAGACGGAGCCGCCACTGGCCAGACGGAGCCTCTACTAACCCAGACGGAGCCGCCACTGGCCAGACGGAGCCTCTACTAACCCAGACGGAGCCGCCACTGGCCAGACGGAGCCTCTACTAACCCAGACGGAGCCGCCACTGGCCAGACGGAGCCTCTACTGACCAGACGGAGCCGCCACTGGCCAGACGGAGCCTCTACTGGCCAGACGGAGCCACTGGCCAGAGGGAGCCGCCACTGGCCAGACGGGCCCGCCCCGGCCCAGACGGAGCCTCTACTAACCCAGACGGAGCCGCCACTGGCCAGACGGAGCCTCTACCCAAGTAACATTTTACTCCATTTAAGAGTTCAATAGTCGTTCACATGTACTCCACAAGCTGTGTATGTCAGCTGTATACGAGCTGTATAGCTTGCTATAATGCTTTTATAGAACCAGTTTGGGCACAAATTAGACAGCTTTAAGTTCACTATGGCTGTACATTAGCAGTATAATAGCATTATAATAGCAGTTTAAGTAGTAACATCGTACTTAAGGCTGACTTACGGCACTATATGGGACGCAGTGTGAACCATACAACGTACGTGAGGACAATAAAGAGTAACAAGTGGCTAAATGCACAGCTTTCAAAGTTATAAAGTCCGACAAAAGTACTCCAATGCTACCCGCCACTGGCCAGACGGAGCCGCCACTGGCCAGACGGAGTCGCCACTGGCCAGACGGAGCCGCTACTGCCCAGACGGAGCCGCTACTGCCCAGACGGAGCCGCTACTGCCCAGACGGAGCCGCTACTGCCCAGACGGAGCCGCTACTGGCCAGACGGAGCTACTGACCTGACGGAGCCGCTACTGCCCAGACGGAGCCGCCACTGGCCAGACGGTGCCTCTACTGGACAGACGGAGCCTCTACTGACCCAGACGGAGCCTCTACTGACCAGACGGAGCACTGCTGGCCAGACGGAGCCACTGACCTGGCGGAGCGCGTCCTCGTGGCATGCTGTCACTGGAGGCAAAGGCCCTCGCTCCGTCTACTGCAGACGGAGCTGTGGGATTTTTGATCGACCACACTAAGGAAACTAAGGTGTTAGTGCTTCCTTGCGAGCGGGTGTTGTGCTCGGCGACCAAGGTCCAAATGACATCATCTTGGTTTTCATATATTATATGCTAAGCAGGGTAGAAAACTCCAATACCACGATGCATGATTATGGGCACGGTGGAGTATACCGTAGTAAGGTTGGCGTCAGCGCCATCTGTTGGAGACAGTTAGCCAGACGGAGCCGCCACTGGCCAGACGGAGCCGCCACTGGCCAGACGGAGCCACTGACCTGGCGGAGCCGCTACTGGCCAGACGGAGCCGCTACTGGCCAGACGGAGCCGCTACTGGACAGACGGAGCCACTACTGGCCAGACGGAGCCGCCACTGGCCAGACGGAGCCACTGACCTGGCGGAGCGCGTCCTCGTGGAACTGCTCGAGCACGGCGGCGTCGTTGTAGTCGAGCAGCTCGCTCTCCGCCTCGGCGGCGTCGGGCGGGCTGGCCATGCTGACTGGAGGCAGGAGGCTCTCCCTCCATCTTATAGATCCTTCATTGGCCAGACGGAGTCGCTACTGGCCTGATGGAGCCTCTACTGACCCAGACGGAGCCTCTACTGATCAGACGGAGCCTCTACTGACCCAGACGGAGCCTCTACTGGCCAGACGGAGCCGCCACTGGCCAGACGGAGCCTCTACTAAACCAGACGGAGGCGCCACTGGCCAGACGGAGCCTCTACTGGCCAGACGGAGCCGCCACTGGCCAGACGGAGCCGCCACTGGCCAGACGGAGCCACTGACCTGGCGGAGCGCGTCCTCGTGGAACTGCTCGAGCACGGCGGCGTCGTTGTAGTCGAGCAGCTCGCTCTCCGCCTCGGCGGCGTCGGGCGGGCTGGCCATGCTGACCACGCTGCCTGGCTCACCGCCGCCCTCTGTTGCTGGAACAAATTGACAGTTAGATAACACCATTTTATTTGTCTAAGGCCTAGACGATGAAACGCAACTGCAACGAAACTGCAACTGCTAGTTACTTTTGAGTTGCATCTAAGTTTCTGCCATAGCGTCTGTTGAGAGACCACACATGACGCGACTAGTTTGAAACTTTCAGTTTCAGTTTCATTCATCAGAATCATCACAAAGTTGCAGTTTCATTGCAGTTGCGTTTCGCCGTCTGTTCTGGGCCTAATTTACACGCAAAACCTTATTTTTCACTTTAGGGATCCCTCATACTAACGTCTCCCAAGCATCGTCATCTTACCAGCGTTGAAGCAATAGAGAGTGGCGCTGACAAGACGATAAAGTTTGAAAGTCGCTAGTGAGGGGAGACCTTTAAAAAACGACATCTGGCGTTTTATTAGCAAAAGAAACGCTAATTGAGAGAGCAGCTCGCAACTCTTTGTGGTCGCTATAAGTGAACCACATCGCGAAAATCATGATGAGACAGCTTCTGAATATATCAACAGCGGATTTTGGCAGTTAAGGAAAGCCGCGACACGTCCTTAGTTGTTACATTGTTGAATAAGCGTTTTCAGTCTTTAAACGTAACATAAAGAATTTAATAATGCGTACAGCAGCTTATCAAAAATAGAGTGTATTATTTACTCAAAAAGCTAATTCCCTAACTGTACTATATTTAACTGATCAGACCACAAGTTATCAGCAAGCTGATAACAACAGCATATTAGTGAAATAATATGGGTCAAAATAACATTTGCCACACTACATAAAACTAAATACTGTTTCCTTCCATGATAATAATATTGTTTTGTTTATTTGAATGATTTCCCACGCTGAACTCTCCCATCAAACTCAATAACAGGGGGGCGCTACCATCGTTCAACTATATGGTTTCCAACATGGCAAAAATCGGAATTTTGGAACTATACATATACTTTTTGTCAATAATACAGCCAAAAGTGATTTTGTCCTCTATAAAGGCCATGGTTTTTGGCCTATCTTCTTCATTTTCTAAGACATCTACAGTACACACAGTAACCTGTCCTCAGATGAATCTTCAGTCTGTCTATTTTAAACTTGACCTTTGATGAGTGTAAGCTGATGTCCTTACAGTAGCACACATCAGTGAACAAGTTCTAAGGCGTCCTTATAATAGTACAATCACCTGTGAGTCTGTCCTCCGTGTAGGCCATCGTTCGCGCGATGGAACCGAAGCTCAGCTTGGACGAGTTCTCAGAGTCGGAGCGAGCTCGCACGAGCCACGCTTGCTCCTCCGCCATTGCTTGATGCGCTATGTACCTCTTGCGGTGACCCTAACATCTGTAACACGTGCCATGTATGGAAATAGTCATAATTTCAATGAATTTGAATTTATTACATTTAGGCTGAGTTGCACCACCTTAACAATATCAATAACCGGTGCTTTTTGTATGGAGATTGACAGATTTTTGACGTTTGTCAAAGTTAAAGTACAATGGTGCAACTCAGCCTTAGGTACATAATAAGATACTGGATACAACACTCATAATGCTTTTGTTATGGTAAGAAAAGATTCAAGCCCGTGTTTCTTTCAATAATTAAATTAAGTTAGCAGCCGCCCGCGACTTCGTACGCGTGGATCCTGTTTTACCCCCTTTTCCCGAATTTTCTTTGCTATAAACCTCACGGAGCCCGAGACCTTTCCAACGAATGCAAAACCGTGGAAATCGGTTTGTGCGTTCTGGAGTTATAGCGTCAGGGAGTAAAACCCGACTTATTTTTATATAGTAGTTAACATAAAAAGCAGGTAATGCAGGACCGGTCTTTAAGGAAATCCTTGGGGGAGGCCTATGTCCAGCAGTCACCATAAATAGTGCCCTGGAAAATGCCTATGTAATGCCATTCTGGATGTCTCATTTATTACTTTTGTATGCATGTTTATGAATTAAGCGTTGTATGCTAAGCCAAATTCTGATACCATTACTTAGGTATAGGCTTAGATTAGTAATCTAAGCTTATAAGTTAACACTGGAAGGGAACAATGCAAGTAGGGTTGCCAACATTTCATCGGCGAAATATAGTATTTTCCAAAATAAGGTGTAAAAAAATATAGTACATTTAAAAAAAATATAGTATTTTATGGGAAAAACAAAAAAATAGACAAATATACATTTTTTAATTATTTATTTTTATAAAAACTATATTTTTTTGCAGTTCTTGCGCTGTGTAACAGTTTTTTGTTTAATATAAATGTATCATATGCTTTGTCACATTCAATTTTTAAATTAATATAAATCAAAAGCTCATTTTTAGTGCTACTTCTGTTTCTTTCTTCTCGCCACTTCGAATTCATAACCGAAAATATCCTTTCTGTAAATGCCGAAGTGGCGAGAATAGAGAGCAGGAATGAAATTACTTCAAATAAATTTGGTAAGTCATTTTCAGTATTTTTTAAAATATGCTGCCATTTTCGGACTGTAGTTTTGTCAGTAAAGTCACTACAGTCTTTTAATTTAGCAAAGATTTCATTCAATATCGTTATTTCAGAGTAGGTATAGGTCGTCCATTTTGATACTCAATTTTTCTTGTAAATTTAGAACTTCTAATATTGTCTCACAGTCATTAAATGAAACCTCCTTTTTTAAATTTAATTTTTGGATTTTAAATAACCAATTGCTTTCACTGAAATCAAACCATTTATTAAGATAGTCGTAAACATTTTATCAAGAAATAGCAAAAAAATCTTTTGAATTCCATAACTTTCTGTGGGGGGGATTTTGCTTCTAATGATTGCAACATTTTTTTTTGTTTTGTAACCAAAAAAAATATCTTCTTTACGTTTTACTAGCGCCGATTTTAAAATTGACATAATATGTTGTGAGATAGAGACACGCAATTTTTAGTTTTACAAAAGTAATACGATAGAGAAATACAAAGCAATAAAAACCACCTGTTATAGGGGCATTTTTTGGAGAAATTGATCAAATAACCAAAAAAACACGAATTTAAAAGCAGAATTTTTTTCAAAAAGTATATTTTTTTATTATTTTTTGGCATTTTCTGGGTATTTTATTAGTATCGCCTGTTATTTAGCATTATTATTGTTTTTATTTTATCAGGATATACCTCTTAGTTTAAAAGTTATTACGTTTTCTTTATGAGAAGTAATTGGAATAAAAAAATTCTATAAAAAATTAAAAAAAAAAACAAAATTTTGACTTCTTTTTTTTTCGAAAAAAATAGGTCTAGTTTCACATATTTTCATATGTGCACTTTATCGTGACTCACACTGTATATTTTGGGGATCTTCAGTAATCCAGTCATACTCTCTTTCCCACTCCGGTTTATTTTATTTGGAGTCTTTTTGGTATTTTTCGTTTTTTAATCGGCGTTAGCGGCACAATAGAATTTGACGCACTTTCGTTATCACTACCACTTTCCATACCTAATTTATATAAGATTTCAACTTTTGAAAAGAAATAACAACATCTAGTTGAAAACGATTCTGCCGATAAATAAAGCAGACCAAAATATCGTTTGACGACGTTAAAATTTACGTTGTCAATTTGACATTGGCCAGCATCTGTGTTGGCCAGTTCGTTACGTGCGATGGGGCGGAAAGGTTCTGGAATGGAGGCCGCGTACCGGAAAACGCAGGACGTCCACCTACAAGGTGGACCGACGACATCGTAAAGGTAGCAGGGAAGCGCTGGACGCAGGCCGCTACCAATCGATCAACATGGAAAGCATTGGGGGAGGCCTATGTTCAGCAGTGGACGTCCTATGGCTGAAATGATGAAGTTCGTTTAATACGCAAGCGTTCGGATACACGCTATCGCCTATCGGTTATGTTCACGGACCTCATTAAAGGAAATGGTACGTGCGCAATAGGTTATATGACTTAGCCATCTTAACAGTTAAAAGTTACTTTAAAGGCGCGTTCTTATTTTTTTTAATGAAGGATTTGTTTGTTAGATTTGATTTGTTGAAAATATAGTATTTTTGCGTACTATATATTTTTTCAACAGTATATAGTACGCAGACCCGAAATATAGTACAATACTATATATTATAGTACGGTTGGCAACCCTAAATGCAAGGCAAGATCTCTATTCTCTACACAACACACAACTATTCTATGAAAATGTATAGAACTTATAGGTATTTGTTGTCGCCCGTCGTCGAAACAATGATAAAGTAAAACCATAGTCAGTCAGTATGTCACGTCATACCTACTTAAGAATTAGAAGACTGCGACAGCAAGATGAGTTAAATTAAACACCTACGAAGAAATCAAGATAATTTCCGGCTGACATACGACATGGGAGGTCTCCTGCTATTTCTTAAGATAAACCTTGATAAAACTGAACAGTTCAGCAAAACCACAATACACAGATGAATGACGATGCCACTACACATTTGCAATAATCAATACGCTCCCACGCTGGCTGAATAAACAACAACAAACAATAAAATCATAAAATAACAGACCACCATTGTTATCTATTTTACTAAATACTACTTACAATTCGCTTTATTCGATGCCAATTTCACACGTATAATTTAATTTTGAACTTAATTTTTGAACAATTCAACCGTTTACACCAACAAATGTTATATTACGTAAAAAATAAAATTCAAAAATACAAACATGCATTGCCCTTTTACAATGGTTGTGTAATCCAACAAAATTTAAGAGATTATCTGTTTGTTTACTTGTTGCTCTTTTTTGCAAATGATAGAGCGAGATGCATAGCTATTAGACATGGTACACATTTTTTGGTAGTATTACATTCATTAAATTCATTGATAGTGTTGTCACCCAAACATCAATGCACAATCATAGTGAATTAGTAATTGAAGTATATTTTATGTAGTGAGAAGTTAATTATTTCATTTATATAAAAACACAATTGTCGATGCATCTTTGAAACAGTATTGTATTTATGTACCAGCTCGTGTTTAATTTGTAAAATCATTATCTTTCAATAGGATCCTAGGCACTTTAAAATAATTTCTGTAAGAGGTTTTAAACGCCATCTTAACTATTTTGGGACTTGTAGATATCAAACATAGTATTTTATATCTTACAAAATATTACATATTTAGAATAACACGTTTGATTTATAAAATAAAAAAAAACTGTTTAAATAAAAATCAAGCAAAATGATTACAACACAGGCACACTTGTACGACTTACAGTTTAGAAGCATTAAGCAAGCAAATTGACGTCCGGTATAATAAATTGACTGTCCTTGTAATGAACAAAGAAAGCGGTGCTACACTGCTGCTGGCTAATATCAGAATATATTACATTGTGATTATTTATTGCTCGTGTTGAGTGCAAAATTCGTAATATAATTCAACTACTTAGAACCTGCTGCACTCAAAGAAATGCATAGCACTAGTGTTTAATAAGACCCGACACATTATAGTCCATCATAACTGTTTAGATTAGATATTTGAGATTCAATGCACATTTTGCGGATTCCAAGTTAGCGACACATTCACCCAATTTCGCAATACTACCTATAAAAGGGGCTGAAGGATTTGTGTCATGCGCACTGTTAGCTCGGATCCGATCCGTGTTTAAAAACGTCATAAGATTTCATTTTAAAACCATTATTAACTTTCAATACGTAAACAGATAAAGAACATTATGTAAACTTTAAAAATATTATTCGCTTTTTATAGCCAACAAGGTTTAGATTGTTCAAATATGTTATTTGAATTGACTTAGAAGGCGGATCGGATCCGTTGAATTTTCAATCTCATGTATAACCCTATAAAATCTGCAGAGTTTAAGGTCAAGAAAGGGATAGCGTGTCAGCAGTTACCCCATGACTAAAAAAGACAAGTGTATGAAGGAAGATCAGGGTAATCCCTAAATGGTAAGTTTTAAGTTCTTTGAATCATCGCATTGCTATTGGAAGTCAGCCAACAATAAATAAATTTGACAACTGTAGTAATGAGAGATAGTTAATAGGAGATAGATTTTTGCATAACATTAAGTTTCTTATGATGAGACCCGGGTATTGGATCTGGAACGGTTCCAGATCCAATACCCGTATATATAATACGTTACGTATTATTATACAACGTGTCCCAAAATTCAAGGATAAGCCGGCGCCGCAGGATGGACATAGTCATGACTACTTTAGGAAAAATAAGAAAAAAAATCTATCTCAATTATTTTTTAAAGTTACACAATAAATAATGAAATTCGTCGAAAATTGACACCCCTTATGATATTTTACATCACCACGGCCACAATATTTCAAATACTTCTGTTTTTTGTTTGTATCGGCAACTTAAGTAGTGCTGCTCTCCACTCCAATTCTTAAAACCCCCAGAATCCTTGCAGATTTTACACAAAAGTTAATCAAAATATGATATTTCCTTAAAATTTTGAACGATTTTTACTTTCACACCACTTAGACTGGTCGTTTTGTAAAAAAAAAGTATGAACACTGCTGCGGCAAGTTTTTTATAAAGTTGACGCAACTATCCAAGATTCCAAAATAGTATAATACTAATAGAAAACTAGTCGCAAAAAAGATATGCGTACCATTTTTACAAGCACTTCGCTTGTTAGTTAGTATGGGATAAATCTTGCAACTGAATTTAAAACCAGTTCTCCTCAACCAATTGAGCTGAAATTTGGTATACTTATGTAAGTACGATGACAATGCAATATTATGGCATCATTGAGCTGGATGGAGTCTGGAGGTGGCCATAGGAACTTCTAAACGAAACGGCGGAATTGCATCTAGTTTAGGTTCGTTGGATTTGTTTTTTCAAGCACTTTAGTGCTAGATGATGTCCAGGGTCCTGATGATGAAAACAAGAGGTGGTCAGGAGCTGGCCTTAGGAACTCCTTAACGAAACAGCGGAAGCTTATCGAGTTTGGGTTCGTTGGATTTGTCTTCCCGGGCACTTGGGCCATGAGATTGAGAAACAACTAAAGTTTAAAATACGAAAGCTTGTAGCGCAAACAGAAAAAAAGAGGAATAAATTCCATGCGCGATTATAACTTTATTTTACACTGTTTAGTTGTTTCTTAATCTCATGGCCCAAGTGCCCGGGAAGACAAATCCAACGAACCCAAACTCGATAAGGTTCCGCCATTTCGTTTTGGAGTTCCTTTGGCCAGCTCCTGGCCACCTCTTGACTTCATCATCAAGACCCTGGACATCATCTAGCACTAAAGTGCTCGAAAAGACAAATCCAACGAAACCAAACTAGATGCGATTCAGCCGTTTCGTTTAGAAGTTCTTATGGTCACCTCCAGACTCCATCCAGCTCAATGGTACCATAACAATGCATTGTCATCGTACTTACATAATGTAACCAAATTTCAGCTCAATCGGTTGAGGAGAACTGGTTTTAAATTCAGTTGCAAGATTTGTCCCACACTACCTAACAAGCGAAGTGTTTGTAAAAATGGTACGCATATCTTTTTTGCGACTAGTTTTCTTAGAGTATTATACCATTTTGGAATCTTGGATAGGTGCCTCAACTTTATAAAAAACTTGCCGCAGTAGTGTTCATACTTTTTTTTTACAAAACGACGAGTCAAAGTGGAGTGAAAGTAAAAATCGTTCAAAATTTTAAGGAAATATCATATTTTGATTAACTTTTGTGTAAAAACTGCAAGAATTCTGGGGGTTTTAAGAATTGAGGTGGATAGCAGCACTACTTAAGTTGCCGATACAAACAAAAAACAGAAATATTTAAAAAATAGTGGTTCTGGTAATGTAAAATATCATAAGGGGTGTCAATTTTTGAAGAATTTCATAATTTATTGTGTAACTTAAAAATTAATTGAGATAGATTTTTTTTCTTATTTTTCCTAAAGTAGTCATGACATGACTATGTCCATCCTGCGGCGCCGGCTTATCCTTGAATTTTGGGACACGTTGTATATAATAAAATATAGCATTTTGTAATACGTAGGTAAATCATATCCTATACTGGATGCATAATAATCACTAAAAGCTGTCGATAGTATTCTTATTGAGCTTTTAAACAGAAAAATAATAAAGGCTACTATAACATTGGGATAAAATTGTAATAAATACCTACTATACAATGCCGTTGGTTATTTGATTAACAGAATTAGGTTTATTTTTCTCAATATAAATTTTAAGGGAATTTCAATATTGTCCACCTTTTTTTTATTTACATTAAAATTTTTGAAGTTGAATAATAATTGTTTTGCAATGTTTAATTGAATCGCAATTTATTAGGAATGCAGGCTGTGATTTTCAGTGAGTAGGTACTTAACGGATTTGATCATTAGATTTGTACTTGAAACATCGTCTCTTGTAGAACGGAAGCCTTTATTGATCGCAAAGTTCACGCAGTGCGCAGTCGTGGTGTTACGCATTTTGCACATGCGCCAACTCGGTATTCACACATTTTGAATTACGGGGATTCTATAAATAGAACACCACCTAAGGCTCAAATTTAGATAAGAAGGAAGTCGAAAATTTTGCTAATATTTTTTTAATATTATTATTTATTTTATTTAATAAAATGAATTAGTTTTATTCTATTTTAAAAGCACGTAGGTAAATAACATTTAAGGAATAAGTAATAGAAATACATAGTAAGTATAGCAGCTAAGTTTTAGATTAAGAATAATAATAATATAATAAGATAGTAATACTATTTCATTAAATGCTAAATCAAACACTTAAATACGCTTTGATATCGATTATTTATACACATTTCAGTGCATTAAATTATCAATTGTTAGCACTTCACTAGTTTTATTGACAGATGATAGACGTCAAAATCAGCAGTTGTTGTTGTGGGGTTGTTGATTGACTTGTGCGCGCGAAATCCGTTGTTTACTTTCGTTCGAAGCTGAGTAAAATTATTTTGAGTAAAAACCAATAAAATGGTGGAGCTATCGGCTGAAAACGTAATCTCTACACAAATAAAGCTCATCAGAAAGTATTTGAAGTTCAAAATTATCGAAGACAACGTCTCATTTCGTGGTCATAGTCAAGAAAGGAATCATGTGTACGATCTCATGAAGCGATCGATTGTGAATGGAGAATCTCACTCTGCATTGATAATTGGGCCTCGAGGATGTGGCAAAACAACTGTTAGTATACTCACATACAATTTTATGTAAATAAAATGCTATAATTTATCATGATACGTTGATCAACAACATTCGTCTTTATAACCTCTAAAATAGCTGTTTACTCTCTAATCCATATCTGTGTGTTTACTCTTTGTTATTGATACAGTTTAAGCTATTTTAACGTGGAAAAGGTCATATCAAAAACATATTAGTTGATGTTAAGCTTAATTTATGATTAAAATGAACCACATGTAAATAAACAAAGCTTCATAGTGCAAAATGTTTGTCCGCAGCTCATAAATTCAGTATTAAGCCAGCTTTCAAAAGAAGTGGATTTAGAGAACGATGCCATTATTGTGAAGCTCAACGGCCTGATCCACCACGATGATAAAATAGCACTCAAGTCTATTACAGCTCAGGTACGTAAAAAATTAGGGTTATTATTCATCATCATCATCATCATTTCAGCCATAGGACGTCCACTGCTGAACATAGGCCTCCCCCAATGCTTTCCATGTTGATCGATTGACGAACCAAAGTCGCTGACATAGCCCGACGGATTAGCAAGCTGAAGTGGCAATGGGCAGGGCACATAGTACGCAGAACTGACGGCCGATGGGGCGGAATGGTTCTGGAATGGAGGGTTATTATTATCACCATTGAATTAACCCGAAGCAGAGGTAGGGTTAAAGCAATGGGATGTGTAAAAGCACTTTTTATAGGCCTATTTGCAGAGAATGTGTGACTTTTCCTATCAATGGGTGTTGTGAACTTTTCTTACATAAATTCCCATTATTGAAGAATGGGGATTAATCAATGAAGTTTTGTGAAAGAAATTCACTTCTGAATTTGACTATGTCTTGTAATTCAGCATGCCTCTTGACATAGGCCTCCTCCAGCTCCTTCCACGGAGCTCTATCCTCCGCTACTCTGGTCCAGCATGGCCCCAAGGTTAGGCGGATAAGAATAAGAATAAGAAATTTATTCATAATGTTCATTACATGTCAAATTTTCAATATATTTTCTTATTAATAATAAACAATTGCAGTATTAATAAGAAAGAAATACACATCATGTCCAAATAAATTAACAATACAAATAGAATTAATGTCAATTAAATGTCAAAATAAAATGATATCGTCTTTCCATCTAATTTTTGGACGCTCTTTACTTCTACGGTCTTCTCTTGGGTACCATAGTGGTAAGTACAGGAGCATAGGACGCGAGTGAAACACGAGACTGCTGTCAACGCACTGATTTATTATTGAACCAATATGCACCATATAGTGAAACTCTTGGGACAGTAGTTTTTGCTTAGATCTTTTACGGTTTTAATCTAAGTATTGATTTTGTCATACTCATCTGTTAATTTACAGATGCAGCTAGAAAACGCAGTGGGTGATCGTGTGTTCGGAACCTTCGCTGAGAACCTATCCTTCCTACTGAGCTGTCTCCAAAGCAGCGGCAACCGGAGCGCTAAGAGCGTTGTGTTTCTGCTGCAAGAGTTCCACATGTTCTGTAAGACCGGTCGGACGCAGACGTTGTTGTATAACCTGTTCGATGTCACACATAATAAGCAGGCTCCGATGTGTGTGCTAGGTAAATAACCAGATAATGATTTTATTTGTATGATTTATAAAGTTGTTTTTTATTTGACCTTCACCAGATCGTCGCCATCGTCGGTCCACATAGTGGCAGAGAACCAGTCGTTGTAGATATCCTTGGGGGAGACCTTTGTCCAGCAGTGGACGTCAAAACATACAATTTCTCACATAGCAACTGTATCAATCTGAATACTAACGGCCGCCCGCGACTTCGTACGCATAGATCCTGATTCCGTTTAAGGCCTCAGCCTCGAACTTAGCGGGCAGCGGGGCGGCGGCGGCGGCGGCGCTGGAGCGGGGCGGGCAACGCAGACCCGTTCTCGAAACAAGCGGGCAGCTCGCGCGGCGCCTTAGCGGCGAAGTGTTGTGTTCGGGGTTGTGTTGTCGAGATATTTGTTTTTATTCGCGAACGAAATGTCTGAACAACGGCGACAATTTTATTTCGATTCAAATTTATTCCTTACGCTCGATTTATTGTGGGCAAAAGAAGGAGTGCGCTGCGCCCGCTCGTTGCCCGCTCCCTCGCCGCTGCCCGCTCCGGCGCCGCTGCCGCGCCGCTGTTTTCGAGAACCGGTCTATTTGATTTGACGCATAAGATCCTGCCGCTCCCGCCCCGCCGCCGCTCCCGCGCCGCTGCCCGCTAAGTTCGAGGCTGAGGCCTAAGGGTTGAATTTTGCAAAATCCCGTCTTAGTGATCACCTACGTCCTAAAAAGAACCCCCATGCAAAATTTGAGACTCCTAGCACTTGTAGTTTCTGAGATTTCGTGATGAAAGTCAGTCAGTGACCTTTCACTTTTATACTAGATTTATTTTTGTTTTTATTTAACTTAAATTTGATTTTTTCCAGGTGTAACAAACCAAATAGACGTCATGGAGTTATTAGAGAAACGCGTAAAGTCCCGTTTCTCCCACCGCCATATTTTCATCTTTCCTAACGAGGAGACAGAGCCCGGTGCCACGCCGAAATCGCGCTTAGACACGTACACAGAAGTGCTAGTTCAGCTTCTATGTGTGCCTTGTGTGAAGCGAGTTGAAGAAAAGAAAAAGGGACGGGGTAGGAAGAAGTCTACAGGTAGTTATTATATTGAAGAGAATACTATATTCTGCTGCTAATAGATTAGACCAGTGTTTCTTAACCTGTGATCCAGGGACCATTTAACAATCTATACTAATATCTATACTAATATTATAAATGCGAAAGTAACTCTCGTCTGTCTGTCTTGTCTTACTTTCAGCGGTTTAGGCTTAGTTTGAGTTCCGGGAAAGGACATAGGATAGTTTTTAACCCAGTTTTTGAAGAAGGGTTTGGACGCGCGATAAAGTTCTTCTGTGGCAGACAAAATTCCCCTCTGGACACGTGGTCCGACTGCTTTGTCCGACTAATCGGACCACGTGAACTTTTTTTTCCTGTTGGTTCGATTATGGAGTCGGACTATCAAGACTTTCTGTTCTTAAGGTTACATGGTCCGACATTTAACCGCCCAACCTATTTGAAAGAAAGAAAGAAAGATACATTTATTATTTCATTAACTCAACACTTTTTAATTGCATTTTCTTTATTGAAAAACTATAACAGACCTATTCCTTTTAGTTCAAATCAAAGTTTAACTGAGTTGAACTTTCCGGAAAAAAAATCCATAGTTTTCATAATTTTTCTAGAAAGAAGAACGGTCACGCCCCATACAAAAAAAACCCAGACCCGACAGAAACGAGACATACCTCAGTTTTTTTGTCATGTCTTAATTAGTTAAATTATATATTTTTTATATTCGAAATCTATGTATAACACCAAAATATTACCCTTTGTTTTTGTTCAGGCGTTATACAAAAACTAATACAAAATGCCTATTTATCACCAAAATTGGTAAATGTATGTACCTAAATGTCTATTGCAGCTGCTATGGAATGTATCTAGGTGACCTGGAGATACAACCGGATTATACAGGGTGGTTATACATATGGAACGATAAGTGATCTCACTCGATTATTTCTAAACTATACAAGATATCGAAAAACTAGTTACTGATTCTGAAAGTGCTTCACGAGCTCTTTCAAATGGTACCAATAATAGGTTACAGATTATGGAAGCTGGTAACATTGAATTTTTAGATTTTGTAACTTCTCGTTTCCACCCTGTATAATCCGGCTGTATCTCCAGGTCACCTAGANGTGCTAGATGATGTCCAGGGTCCTGATGATGAAAACAAGAGGTGGTCAGGAGCTGGCCTTAGGAACTCCTTAACGAAACAGCGGAAGCTTATCGAGTTTGGGTTCGTTGGATTTGTCTTCCCGGGCACTTGGGCCATGAGATTGAGAAACAACTAAAGTTTAAAATACGAAAGCTTGTAGCGCAAACAGAAAAAAAGAGGAATAAATTCCATGCGCGATTATAACTTTATTTTACACTGTTTAGTTGTTTCTTAATCTCATGGCCCAAGTGCCCGGGAAGACNTAGGCATTTGTATTAGTTTTTGTATGACGCCTGAACAAAAACAAAGGGTAATAATTTGGTGTTATACATAGATTTCGAATATAAAAAATATATAATTTAACTAATTAAGACATGACAAAAAAACTGAGGTATGTCTCGTTTCTGTCGGGCCTGGGTCACAGATGACCGTTCTTCTTTGAAATAAACGGAATATATTTTCCTAAAAATTCAACTACTTATAATAAATCTATTGAATATTTTTGATTGATTTTTTTAGGCTAGTTTCCTAAAAAAAATTTTTTAGTCCGTCAATTTTAATATAAAAAATATTGGACACGTATATTTTTAATTGTCAATCAAACAAATAATTACAAAGTTATAGTCATGGACCTATAAAAAAAGTCGGACGGATTCTCATCAACAAAATAGGTACTGTGACATTAGGATACACCAGCTTGCCTGTACGTACAGGCCGGCACGCACACATTCAAACCCTGACGCACCACTTCGAGTGCAAACTTCACACAGTTGACACATTTAGGCGGCGAAAAAACAACACGAATACGACATTTCTTGTGTGATGAAATTGTGTAAAAACCGTTCTGTTCGAACAAACAAAAATTAAGGAATCACATTTCACAGGTAAAATAATAATCCAATCACTTATTTCCCGACATTAAAATATTGAAATTAATTGAAATCAAACGTCATTCACTCGAAAAAATAATACGTCAAAGACTAGTGTTCTCAGTTATTTACGTGGGAAAATTACCCGAAATATGGGAAATTAATAATAATTTTAGGACTTTTTAGTTGTTTATTACGCATACTATAGAAATAAAATAATTTATCATAATAATTGTGTTTTAATGGGATATATTTTCATAGGCAGATTTGATCCTTCCCAAACATGTGGAAATTCAAATTTTCTTACATTGATTGCAAGTCAGTGTCAGGTTGTATGTTAAAATTATCAGAGATAATAATAATATATTGATGATGCATAAGATTATGATTATAATGTACACAAGATTCGTAATTTGTAACTGCGTGAATCATTTTTGATCAACATTATGTACAAACCCTGACACTGACTTGCAAACAATGTTAGAAAATTTGAACATTGAAAATTTCGCGCCTACCTCAACGCATTCACCTTTCATTCTTTTCAAATGGCACGGAATAATTCTGTCTGCATTTCCAAGTAACATCTGCCGATCTATGTTTTTCTTAAAGTAAATGGGTAACATGGCATCCCTAAATTCACTCACACAATAGATAGACGTCAAAATTTTGCGTCACAGTTTTGTTGTAGCGCGAGTTCCGTCCGCCTTTTTTTATAGGTCCATGGTTATAGTGCGTTGAAGTTCCGCGCGACGTCACAAAGTGCAGCACTTTTACGCACTCACTGACGTCACGGGCCTTTTCTTTAGAACTTTGGCACGCTTTATCTCTTTACATTTTCATTAGTTTTAAAAAGTGAAAAATAGGTGTCGATTATTTTTTGANTGAATAAGAAGATAGCAATACTACAGTTCACACTAAAAAGAGAGGTAGGGCCTCAGAGAGCGAGATAGATATAAGTAGGTATTTGACTCAAGTTTTTGTTCCAAGTTTGCCCTCCATTTTTATCTTTACAGTCTAATTTTTTAGAACTCAGCAGAAATGTCATCAAAAATGGCCAACTGACATAAAAATATTTTTAGCCTGTGAACTAGTGATGCAACAAAACCTCTCGTTAATCGCGAAGTGAAATTATTGTAGTACTTGCGTATCATCGCCGGGAGATCGTCAAAATACTAAAAATATGCAACAAAGTCGCAACATTGAATGTGAACTGATTATGAAATTTTCGAGAACAGGAAACAAACTGTATGCACAGATGTAATCAAAAAACATACTGGACAGTAAAACAATCAATGATATCCGTAAAGTTATTAAACTTCAAATAGTTGCAAAAGTTCTGTTTGACAGTGTTGCTACTATAGTTCCAAAATACTGGACTGTCCTATCGATGACATTGACAGTGGGGCGCCACCGTCAATACCGGATCGCTGGTTCCGATTTTTGCCATGTTGGAAACCATATAGTTGAACGATGGTAGCGCCCCCCTGTCATTGAGTTTGGTGGGACAGTTCAGCGTGGGTCATCTATAGTGACATCTCGCTCGCTCAGTTCTTTGTTGCTCTATTCCACTAGGGAGGTAATTTATGATGCTATCAATTGAAAGAAGATTTTTATTTTCTTTTATTTTATTTACTTATATAGGAAAATAAGCAATGGAACAATACGTAAGCATAATTGCATAAAAAAGTAAAATAATTTCGTTTAAATAAAACCGACTAAAAATTAAACTGACTCCGAAAAAGTATACACTAAAAGTAGAAAAATAATTTTACGTTATCTCCAAAATTGTCGAAGTAATCGCTGGAAAACTAAACAAAGTATCGTATATTTTTTATTTCAAATTAATCAGTAATCGGAATAAGTGAATACTTAAAATAATATCGATTAAATTTACAGATTATTGTCTATGACTCACAGGTTACAGCACTGATGTGTCAGAGACAAGTCATAGACAATATGGAGATAACACATGATTTTAAACGTCAAGTCAATTTGACAAGTCTTACAAATTTTCATCGTCCACGTATTTTGCTAAAATAATTTATTTCAAAGATTGATTTCAAACTTGTTTAAACGTGAAAATAAAGTTGGTTTCATGGACTTGTTAAATAATGTGTATGATATTATGAACACGTAAGTGATTATGGTGTAATTGTGGATGAAAGTGTTTGTTTACATCTCTGCTGGATTCTAAAAAATCAAGGTATAGCTTCATGATCCGAAACCAATGTCCGAAACACAGATTACTTGGTCCGAAACTGTTAGATATTTTTTGTAAAAATGTTTGAAACCTGAAAAAGTACATAACAGCTAAAAAATTTAAGAGATGTTTTTATTTTCATCTAAACAAAAGTTCAAAAGACATCCAATTGTGATTATTTGCAATTGTTTTTTGATAATGACTTTCGTAATAAATCAAAACGTAGGTATACATAGAATTCGGAACAACAAATAGTAAACAACCGCCATGATGGGTCGGATTGGGCCGATGTTGCCACATGGTACCGATTTCCCAGGAATTGGGATTGTAATTCCCTGATTCGCCAACACATTAAGCCTAAATGGCCGACAATTTTGTGTATTTTTATTTAACTAGGTAATCTTAGTTTCAAATATTAATTATTTATTAGTGTCCGNAGAGGGCACTAAATTCCACGCGGGCGAAGCCGCGGGCGGAAAGCTAGTCATAAATAAATGCCACCAAAAGTTTTAAAACCAAAATTGTGCTTGATTTCCTAAGGGGACAAAAAAGGTTAATAAACACTGGATAAACGGTACAATTTATGTTGCAAAATTGAAAGTTCAATAAGAATTTACTGCGTTCTGCAAAATTCGACATCTTATACCCTTCTTGACTTGCCTCAATTTAAGTTGCAAGCTGATGGTTTTTTGGAGCCTTAAACATGAATCGGCTTACGCTCGACTGTAGTTTTGATTTTTAGTTGCTTCGACATTGATAAATTGCACAGAATACCTAATAGTCCTACCTAATAACCGAATAATATCCTCTAACACATTATTTAACTATAGCGTGGCATCTCTTTCTACTGCGTAGGTCTCTTTTTCGACACAGTAGTGTTGCCAGTTTTTACTACGCAGCACACGCGCGGTGCATCAATCTTCTATAGTATGGTCGCCGAGCACGTAGAATTTCGTCCAATGACCCCAAGCTACCCATCCTTATCGCTCGCGTGTAATTATATTGCTGTCGCGACTGTGCGACGGGCGCCCGCAGTGAGTGTGCGAGCGGGACAGCAACATAATTACGCGCGAGCGATAAGGATGGGTAGCTTGGGGTTATTGGACGAAATGCTACGTGCTCGGCGACCGGGCTTTACCAAACGCAAATTTTACAATATCATCATTGTTATTACAGCTACAGAAGAAGTAGATATAGACCAATCAGAATTCACAATACCTCCGGAAGTGCTATCCCGGTGCAAAGTGAACCCAAGCCAGTTCAACGAGCTAGATCCAGGCTTCGTAGAGGATTGGAACGCACACGTGTTAAGTTTGGCCAGCGATGAGAGAGTCACCGATGCTTTGGAGAAGCTCTGCTATTATACTGTGAATGAGCAGATATTTAGGAATATTCTGGTGAGATGAATATAATTTTTAAACGCTTGTAATGAAATTGATTGACTTTAACTTGGATTAGGACTTGAACCTATGACTATAGTCTGGTCTGTGAGCACGTAGAATTTTGTCCAATGACCCCAAGCTACCCATCCTTATCGCTCGCGCGTATTTATGTTGCTGTCGCGCTCGCACACTCACTGCTGGCGCGCGTCGCGCAGTCGCGACAGCAATTTAATTACGTGCGAGCGATAAGGATGGGTAGCTTGGGGTCATTGGACAAAATTCTACGTGCTCACAGACGGGCCTTTAGTTAGCTACATATAAAGGTACTGAGACCTTTGTTAAAAATGACTATTATTCTTCTACATGAAGACTGTATGGAGAGGAATACTTCCCTTTTTTAACCGATTCAAAAAAGGAAGGTTCTCAACTCTGTTGATGTTTTTTTCTGAGTTTCATAAATGCTAATATCTGTATCAATTGAAGATTAATTGGCAGAAAATGCTGTGAACAATTAAGTCTGCGAGTATTTTTTGGGTGTAATAATAACAATCTAACCATGACGAGTGAATTTCTTCTACACTCTACAGTAAGGCCCAGAACAGACAGACACGGTGAAACGCAACTGCAACGAAACTGCAACTTTCTGAGGATTCTGATGAATGAAACTGAAACTGAAAGTTTCAAACTGGTCACGTCATGTGTGGTCTCTCAACGGACGCTATGGCAGAAACTTAGATGCAACTCAAAAGTAACTAGCAGTTGCAGTTTCGTTTCACCGTCTGTTCTGGGCCTAATACTTATGTATTTATTTTTATTTCCAGTTCCAATTAGTCTCCCAACTGTCACCATCCAAGCCTTTCATAGACGCGGGCGAGCTAGACGCTATCATAGACAAGACAGTCGCGCCCGAGCATAGAGTCAAGTTGCTGCAGAGTCTGTCCATCTTGGAGTTGTCTCTGGTCATCGCGATGAAGCACGGCTTGGAGATATTCGACGGACAGCCGATGAACTTTGAAATGGTTTTGCACAGGTAAGTTTTCAAGTACAGATTAGTAATCGTATTTTTTTTGTAGCAAAGTAGTACCTATTGGTACCTAAAAGAGAATAATATTAGCCATTGAATCGCTTTTCGGAAGCTCGACGCAGCGACAGCATATTATGCAGTTGTTAAAATATAATATTATTATGTTTATGTTCATTTATAATATTATTATGTTTATGTATTTATGTGTATGTCTATTATATTTATTTGTATTATGTTATTTATTTTATGTAATCTTATGTAAGTAGGTTTATTATCAAAAATGTAAATTTTTTGCACCGCCTTACTCTTTCTGCATGACCCGTGGATGACTGGCAGAGAATGCCATCCGGCATTAAGTCCGCCACAGTGCATTGTTAGTTTGTGTGCTGAAGTTTAAATAAATAAAACGCGCGATTTTGATACCGCGTCCATTATTCAATAAGATAAAAATCAAGTCAAAAGAGAGGTTGAACTGTCTCAGTATCCATAAACTTCACATAGACAGCTCGGCAACAGCGTTACTTATTACCAAAACTATCTGGGCCCGCGACTTCGTACGCGTGAAAATAATTTGAATAATATTTCCCGTTTTTGCAACATTTTTCTTTACCGTTCTGCCCCTGTTGGCTGTAAGGTGATGTTAATAGCCAAAAGCCTTCCTCGATAAATGGGCTGTCCAACAAAAAAAGAATTTTTCAAATAAAAAATTAAAATAAAATCGAATAGTTCCTGTGTTTAGCGCGTACAAGCAAACAAACGTAATATAGATTAATAAATATCTTTAAATATCTTTGGACAATCTCACACAGCGCCATCTAGCCCCAAAGTAAGCAATTAATATGCTTGTGTTATGGGTGCTAGCTTAACGGATATACTACTTATATACTTTTTTTTTAATACATACATATTATACATAGTAACACCCAGACCCGTCACAGAAATTAAAATTCATCATTTCAATTTCTGCCCGGCCGGGAATCGAAACCGGGACCTCTCGGCATAGTAGTCCGTTCTGAACCACTACACCAAACGGCCGACAATTGGCAGTTTCTATAGCTTTACGTACGTTAAAATTCACTATTCATTTGTCAGGTACACAAAATTCGCCAACGCGAATTCGTCAGCTCAAACCGTCCCTCGGCCAGTCATACTGAAGGCTTTCGAGCATCTACAGTCTTTAGAAATCATCATGCCAGTCCGAAGCACCGACTCCATATACAACCCTGGGGAAACCACCGCGAGTAGGGTACAGAAAGAGTACAAATTATACACGTTGGCTGTACCCGTGGACGATATAACTGAAGCTGTTAAGACGTTTAGAGCGTTGCCCACGGAAATTAATCATTGGTACCACAATTCGGTATGTTAAAATGAAAACTACTAATTTGGTAGCTTTTTTGTTTGTGGCAACACTGAATGTTTGGGAGTTTTATAGGGCACTCAACGAGAGTTGAGGCCATCAACACAAGCATTTTGTATCAGTGTGCTTACCATGAGTTTACGATTGGTGTGCTCGCTAACAAGTGCGTCAAAAAATCTATGAAGATTTTAATTCTTCAAAGTAGCCGCTAGGAGCGCTGTACAATCTGTCATACATTTAATGACATTTTTACGCAATTGCTAGCGAGCACACATAACGTAAACTCATAAAGCACACTTTCTCTGTTTGCGCTGACGTCTTGCATCAGACTGTCGTGCTTTCTGTCTCGCTTGCAGACATTTAACAGAGCGAGGTAGCTAGTGTATTCGATATTTGAAGTTGAATGTGTAATGTGTTGTGTTCTGTATTCTTTTCGCCTCAACTTTCGTTGAGTGACCTATAAATTTTAAGCATGTTAAGACTAGTTTAAGTTAATTTATTTGTTACTTGCTTACTTGTTAAGTGCCTTCAAATAGTTGTATGAATGTGTTCATTATTATTATACCTATTTGATGCAAAAACTGTGGAAGAAAAATAAGTTTTCATATTTTTTTATCATCGTTTTAATAAATGAAATTATTTTTTCTAAAGTTCTAGTTTTATTTAATATTTTTTGACTATCTACATAATAATATCACAATAATAACGAATTATTAATTATTATCTATAAAAATAGCTATTTCTAATTCTAATAAGTGTTAGGTACGGACGGACATCCTATTTTACAAATTAATAGACTAAAGAAATATCTTCTATAAAAATATTAAAAATCTGTCTTAAAATAAGATTTAGGTGTTACTTTAAATTCCACTCGTGGCTTAAGTTAGATTAATAAAAACATTTTGATACTTCTAAACCGACGTAACAAAATAAAAAAAAATCGAAGAAATCGAACAAGATTTCATTGACAGAGTTACAATATTACATTTTTTTTATTAGTCAATCCATCTAATATTAGTGTTGCCACTCCTACGGGCGTCGTTCCTATAATCTTCCTCCCCAAACCTGTACCTAAATCTATCTTGGCTCGCATTCATTTGCCCCAGCTCATCCAACTCCGTCACTGTTAATTCCTTAAACTTTTTCCCTTTTATTTCTTCTGGCAACACTTGGGTACCTTTTTTGCCTTTGCCCTTCTTTTTGTAATTTGTGCCGTTGATTTCGTTGACCATAGAGTCTAGAGCGCGGTGTAACTCGTTTTCAGGGTTGCCAGGTCGTTTGTTTAGTATTCCCGTTTTGAAGGTAGATTCAGGTTGTTGATCATCGACGAAAGCTTCGTTTGAAAACATTTGGAGGTTTAATTTACCTTTGTTCTTGCTTTTGTTTTCTTGGACCTGTGGAAAAAATGTGACAGTTACATTCTGTTTCGTTTCAGGCGAATGACGTCCACTGCTGGACAAAGGCATCCGCCAAGGATTTCCATAGCGATCAGTCCTGCGCTGCCCGCATCCAGGTTCTTCCAGCGACCTTCACTAAATCGTCGGTCCACCTAGTGGGGACCTGCCCACGCTACGTCTTTCGGCCCGTCTGTACCTTTTATAAATCCTTCAGTAGGTATTTTTTGTGCCCACAATTTTGTACGCAGGCCAACGATAATAACACCCGCATTCACGAACGATGCTTGCTTAAGTGAAGCAGCAAATCGAACACACAGCGTTGATTGAGCTCTGTGATTGGTTCGTGTGTCACCCTGTGCGTCCACGCGCACTGTGAAACCTCATAGTAATGTTTGTGAAATCGGGCCTAAATATCTTACATGTAAAGGCTCGTAGAAAACCTCGACACTGTGTCCCAAAAGAAGCACTTAAGCGTCAAGTAGTTACCTCATGCAATTTGTCCACCACCAAGCTATGGCCAGTGTTGACCCCGATTCCCCCCACTTCCTCAATGCTATGCGAGCGGTGGAAGGGGCGAAGCGCCGACACCGCGCGGGATACCCCCACCTGAGAAAAATCAGGATGAGTCTGATTGATATGGATAATCCATATTGATCGATAGTAATAAAACACTAAGATATAATTTTGTAATTGGCTTCTACGAGATCCAAAGAGTTTAGTGTCACGCTAATACGAAAGACCAAAATTCACAGTCAAATGCCTTGCTTTAGCAAGATCTGAGGATCACATCAAGTCATTCTCATGAACGATAAGTCTCACGCTACGATTCTGTGCCTCCTTGTAAACAGATGGTTAGTTCACCAAAATATGGCTATGGGAGAAAAAGAAAAGGTGGAATTTCCTAAGAATGTGCTCTCAAATGTCAGTGCTCAGCAACTCCTCGTAGCCCAGGATTCTGTCCCTCCATCATCAAGGCATCATCTGCCTTACTATCCATATGAAAGGAATCTAAAGAAGAAGAGGAGGTTGTTGTGGATAAAAAAAAGCCTACTTCCTAAGATCTTACCTGTCCGTGCCTGATCCTGTGCTCAGTAAGGTCAGCTCCCAGCAGTTCCTCGTATGGGTCCATGAGGATAGGCATCAGCCGATCATCCACAGGAGAGCCATCGTCACCAGCACCTCTCGCCAGAAAGCACTGGCTTCATTGGGTAAGAAACCCACCCTATGTTTTAAGTAGACCACTTGGACTAAGCGATTGATTGGTTTATGGACATGGTTATATAAGACGGCCTATCGCTGCACTTAAAAGTCTTACACACTGGTGTGCCTCCATCGCCAAAACAACATCTGCTACACTATCTATCTGGCTAGAGTCTGTGAAAGAAGAAAAACGGAGGGGTTTTCTAAAATGATCTACAGGAAATGTGGTCCCATCTGTCCATAGCTGATACTACACTCTGTGAGGTCCGCGTATAGCTTCTTTTAAGGTTTCGCATCAGGTTTTTGTTTCTGCAATCCATCTGAGAAGAATCTATGGAAGAAGAAGAAAGAAAAAAACTTCCTAAGATCCTACCTGTCCATGCCTAATCCTGTGCTCAGTAAGGTCAGCTCCGAGCAGTTCCTCGTAAAGGTCCATGCGGATAGGCATCAGGCGGTCGATCATCCACAGGAGAGCCATCGTCACCAGCACCTCTCGCCAAAAAGCACTGGCTTCATTGGGTAAGAAACCCACCCTATGTTTTCAGTAGACCACTTGGACTAAGCGATGGATTGGTTTATGAAAATGGTTATATCAGACGGCCTATCGCTGCACCTAAAAGTCTTACACACTGGTGTGCCTCCATTATCAAAAATCACCTGCTCCACACCATCCATCTGACTAGAAACTATGGACGACGAAAAAAGAGAGGGATTTCCTAAGGTCCTACAAGAACTTCCACCTGTCCATGCCGAATCCGATGATCGGTGAGATCTACGCACAGTATTTCCTTGTAGAGTTTTATACCAGGTTTATCCATCTTGATTCTTGAGAAAAATCTATGAGAGAAGAAGAAAGAGGAGATCGTCCCAAAAGTCTCACCTGTCCGTGCCGGATCCTGTGCTCAGTAAGGTCTGCTCCCAGCAGTTCTTCGTAAGGGTCCATGCGGATAGGCATCAGCCGGTCGATCATCCACAGGAGAGCCATCGTCAACAGCAAGCACCTCACGCCAGAAGAGACTGGCTTCATTGGGTAAGAAACCCACCCTATGTTTTCAGTAGACCACTTGGACTAAGCGATTGATTGGTTTATGGACATGGTTATATCGGACGGCCTATCGCTGCACCTAAAAGTCTAACACACTGGTGTGCCTCCATTATCAAAAATCACGTGCTACACACCATCTATCTGACTAGAAACTATAAAAGAAGAAAAAAGAGAGGGATTTCCTAAGATCCTACAAGAAATATGGTTCCACCTGTCCATAGCTGATACTGCGCTCTGTGAGGTCCGCGTATAGCTCCTATTAGGGTATCGCATCAGGTTTCTGTTTCGGCAATCCATCTGAGAAGAATCTATGGAAGAAGAAGAAAGAAAAGAACTTCCTAAGATCCTACCTGTCCATGTCTAATCCTGTGCTCAGTAAGGTCTGCTCCAAGCAGTTCCTCGTAAGGGTCCATGCGGATTGGCATCAGCCGGTCGATCATCCACAGGAGAGCCATCGTCACCAGCAAGCACCTCACGCCAGAAGAGACTGGCTTCATTGGGTAAGAAACCCACCCTATGTTTTCAGTAGACCACTTGGACTAAGCGATTGGTTTATGGACATGGTTATATCTTATATCAGACGGCCTATCGCTGCACCTAAAAGTCGAACACACTGGAGTGCCTCCATTATCAAAAATCACGTGCTACACACCATCTATCTGACTAGAGTCTATGAAAGAACAAGAAAAAATTGAAGAATTTCCTAAGAATTAACAGCGGATGCAATCCTATACCTGTGCATGATCCTATGCTATAAGAGGTCAGCGCTCAGCAACTCCTTGAAGCCCAGGCTTCTGTCCCTCCATCATCAAGGCATCATCTGCCACACTATCCTTCTAAAAAATTAAATAATCTAAAGAAAAAGAGGAGGTACTTCCTAAGATCCTTCCTACCTGTCCATGCCTAATCATGTGCTCAGTAAGGTCTGCTCCGAGCAGTTCCTCGTAAGGGTCCATGCGGATAGGTATCAGGCGGTCGATCATCCACAGGAGAGCCATCGTCACCAGCACCTCTCGCCAGAAAGCACTGGCTTCATTGGGTAAGAAACCCACACTATGTTTTCAGTAGACCACTTGGACTAAGCGATGGATTGGATTGGACATGGTTATATGAGACGGCCTAGTCACCTGCTACAACATAGCGTCCATCTGACTAGAATCTATGAAAGAACAAAAAAGGGTGAAATTTCTTAAGATCATAGTCGGACGCAGTTTAGCAATAAGGATCCAAACCACACCATGTTACATTTGACACTTTTTGCTACATGGTAATATACATAGATCGTAATGAGCATTTTGGTATACTTCACTCATTTTCGACGACTTTGTGGGTTGGATCCTTTTTGCTAAACTACGTCCCAAGATAATGTCGTCCCACCAGTCTGTAACTCTTTGAAGTCCGCGTATAGGGAATCTCGCAGAGTATCACACGAGGTTCCTGTTTCTCCATCAATCTATCTGGAAAAAATCTGAAACGAGGAATTTTCTACCTGGCCATGCCTGATCCTGTGCTCAGTAAGGTCTGCTCCCAGCAGTTCCTCATATGGGTCCATGCGGATAGGCATCAGGCGGTCGATCATCCACAGGAGAGCTATCGTCACCAGCACCTTACGCCAGAAGGGACTTCATTGGGTAAGAAACCCACCCTATGTTTTCAGTAGACCACTTGGACTAAGCGATGGATTGGTTTATGAAAATGGTTATATCAGACGGCCTATCGCTGCACCTAAAAGTCTAACACACTGGTGTGCCTCCATTATCAAAAATCACGTGCTACACACCATCTATCTGACTAGAAACTATAAAAGAAGAAAAAAGAGAGGGATTTCCTAAGATCCTACAAGAAATATGGTTCCACCTGTCCATAGCTTATCAGCTATGGACAGGTGGAACCATATTTACGCGGGACTCACAGAGTGTAGTATCCTACACTCTGTGAGGCCCGCGTATAGCTTCTTTTAGGGTTTCGCATCAGGTTTCTGTTTCTGCAATCCATCTGAGAAGAATTCCATAGATTCTTCTATATCTAGGAGAAGAAAGGAAAGAACTTCCTAAGATCCTACCTGGCCATGCCTAATCCTGTGCTCAGTAAGGTCTGCTCCGAGCAGTTCCTCGTAAGGGTCCATGCGGATCGGCATCAGGCGGTCGATCATCCACAGGAGAGCCATCGTCACCAGCGCGCCCCACGCCATCAGGCAAACCCCCGTTAGAGTCTGGACGCCTAGGAGGTACCAGCCGCCCCCTGCGAATAGTGTTAAATTATTTTGATTTAGAATTTCCAGCAAGGAAGCTTGGGACATCTACCCACAAGGTGGAAATGTGACCTAAAGGTCGCAGGCTGTTTGTTCGTTTCAGCCAAATGACGTTCACTGCTGGACAAAAGTCTCCCCCAAGGATTTTCAAAACGACCGGTTCGGCGCTGCCCGTATCCAGGTTCTTCCCGCGACCTTCACCAGGTCGTCGGTCCACCTAGTGGGAGGCCTGCTCACGTTTCGTCTTCCGGCCCGTGGTCGCCACTCTAGAACTTTTCTGCCCCAACGGCTATCGTCTCTACGAGCTATGCGCGCCGATCCGATTGAAGGTTGCGAGAAACGACTGAATGTGGTCAGCGCAGGTTCGGTCATTGTGAAAGTCCTTGGGATCCCTTATCCAACAGCAGACGTTTAGGTTGAAAAGGATAGAGGTAGCTAACTTTAAACATGACTTTGGCGGAATTGCATTTGAGAGGTGGATATTTGGACCGATATCCTGGAGGTAGATCTTGTCATGAACAAAAGTAAGTAGAAATAGTGGAAAAATACCTTTGAACAGTCCCGATCTGCCGTTGGTGGTGTCCATCGGTATAGGATTGTCCGCGAAGAGGCCTACCGCCACCACACCTGCAAAATTTTACGACATTAGAAATAATGTTTCATTTGGTTCTCATAATTCTTTCGCTGCTTTCGGGTTCAGTTTCTTCAGACTCTAGGGTGAATAATATATTTTTTTTAACAACCGATAATAGCGCCTTATGTGGTCTTTTATTTTGAAATGTTTGAAAAGATGAGTTATTTTATGCCTATATTCAGCAGTGGACTTCTAGCTACACTCACCCCAAAAACAACAGCACAGAGTCGTCCACTTTGCCATGGTTGAAGAAAGGAGCAAGTTTTATTCCTCAGTAGGTAGTGGACTACCTATAGGTAGGTGTCTACTCCCCCCAAAACCCACTTGTCTCAACGACCACAGCTCACTCCACTCTCTACTCTCTCACTTTACTACTTTGATGTTGTTGAAGAAATAATTAGGTGTCCTGACCTAAAATATGTCAAACAGTGAACCTTATAAGCTGATGGCAAATTATTACACTCACCCCAAAACCCACAAGCGCCATGTACAGCGCTCGCTCCGACCGGGTCATCCACTTTGATGCGGTCGAAGAGGGGAGCCGCGATGGAGGCTATGGCTGCCCCTATGGCTCCGATGACCAGCGCCTCCCACGCACGGTAGAGGAAGCAGCCCGCTGAATAGACACAATGTATCATCATCATTCTGTACGACATCATAAAGGTAGCAGGAAGGCGCTGGACGCAGGCCGCTAGCCGCTACCAACCGGGCAACATGGAAAGCATTGGGAGAGGCCTATGTTCAGCAGTGGACGTCCTGTGACTAAGATGATGATGATCTCCCTCCACTATAGGAGAACGACCCTTTCTGAGTTACCAGAGGCAAATGGCGGATTGATTGCGGGCGCTATGAACCAGTCAAGTTGGAAAACATTGTGGGAGTTCAGTAGTGGACGTGATGATGATGAAGATGAAATTGAGGTTTAGAATAGCCCTACCCTACTGTAATGGATATTGCACTGCACTGTTCTGTTTCCGTGGATATTGTAAGAGGCGACTATAAGAATATAGGTACGATATGTAAATATGCTTAAATTGGTCGGGTTTTTCTATGAGTCACCTAAAAAGTAATATCAATCAAGAGGTATGATGCTTCCAAAACTTTTAAAGCCAAATGGAGCTAAGCATTGTGGCATTACGTTTTTGCTACCAACTTTTTTGTAACAAAACTCCATAGTTATAGTAGGTATGTACCTACTTCTGTACAAAGGACAGATCATTATCATCATTATATTATTGTTTACTCACCAGTTATGGACACCAGGGCTCCCAGGATGCTGTTGATCAGTTCCATCACGTCGGCTCGTCCTTTGTGCTTTATCATGGTGTATCTGTAAATAATAATCTTGATTGTCTTGTGTTATGTCATCAGCCATCTTGCTACATCTTGATTCTGTTGTGATTTTGTATGAGCTAGGATTAAGTACTGGTAGGTAAATACATTACACACCACAATAATACTGTTAAACGGGGTTATGGAGATAGGTATAATGGTAGTAGCTATCACCCATCAGAGTAGCTAGCTAGGCGAGATTTAAACACCAAGAGAACTACTTAGACAGAAAATTTTGGGAATCGAATCCGGGATCTCTGGGTCTGACTGAGGTGGTCTTGGTCTAATACCCCAGAGGCGGCCAAACCTACACACTACTGAGGCAGAGTATAGTTATAGGCCAGGGTTTCCCAATTTTTGCCAAGGAACCCTAATTGATTATAATTTTCCTAGCGGAACCCCGTACTACTCCGCCCGCACGCCCTGCCCCTCCCTTGTGCGTAAACAAGTCGGTGCAAGCGAACAACGACGGTCACGAAACGTGGGATAATATTTTTTACGGAACCCTTGCGGCCTTTCCTCGGAACCCCAAGGTTTCGCGGACCACCTTTCGGGAACCGCTGTTATAGGCCGTAGAACATTTCTAGTAGGTTACTTCACGTACCGGAAAACGTAGCGTGGGACATCCACTCACAAGGTGGACCGACGACCTGATAAAGGTAGCTAAAGACGCTGGATGCAGGCCGCTACCAATCGGACGATGTGGAAATTAGGGGAGGCCTATGATGTGGCTGAAATGATGATGATGATGACTTACAAAAGTCCGAAGCAGCCTCCTCCAAAAGAACCCATCATGGTCATCACAGCTGCCCGCGCCGCGTACTGCCATTTGGCGCCACTCACCTACAACATTAAAACATGGACAAACGTAGCAAATTTGACCTATATTCTCACCTTTCGTTCCCACCGCTGCAACTCCTGTGTAGCCAGGATCTACAGCTTGACCGCCAATAAAAACCCAACCAGTGAAGTTTTGGTTTGTCCCGGAGGAAAGTTAAGCTGTCATTGGACCCGCGACGAAATTAATCAGAAGAACATAGGAGTTCGAAGTTAAGGTTCGACTTCCCTCCAGTGCAAAGCGGATGACAGGAGACAAAACAAAGGTTTCAGTAATCTTTAAGAAAAGATTGGTGCATAGCAGTGCGGACAGTAAGTATCAGTTATGGGGACATATCTTGTGAGCTATTAGACACAGTTAATAATAGGTACGACGATTACTAGGTATACCATCAGGGCACGGAACTTTACCTCACAATTTCCACTGGAACCTAAATAGGTACCCCATAACCTGATTTATTTGGACAAGCATGGATATTACAAACATTCAACCATAAATATCTTCAGTAGGAATTAAATTAACCAACAAATAAAACATTACTCAAACATTAATACCAATGGCGCAATTTGCAACTCAATGCCTTTCGCGTGGCGGTAACGAGCGCCATTTTGTGGACCTATTTAATGTCAAAATGGCCGCACTTACCAGTAATGATCGGAAAGCCACGTAAATGGGATGATTTAGCTAATTGTTTGACATTGGCGGAGGTTGTAAGGCTTCGTATACATTTCTTAGAGGCACGGTTTTGCTGTCTTTCCCGAATACTATAATCCAGACCTCTTCAAGGCGAGAGTGAATACTTAAAGCAGTATGTAACATCCTAGATTGCATCTCACTTAACACCAGGTGCGGAATACCTGCCTTCGTTCGTTTCAGCCAAATGACATCCACTGCTGGACAATGGCCTCCCTCAAGGTTTTCCACAATGAACGTCCTGCGCTGCCCGCATCCAGGCTCTTCCCGCGATCTTTACCAGATCGTTGGTCCACCTAGTATAGTAGTAAATACCTGCCTTGTTATGCATAAAAAATGGAGGCTCAGTTCTTTCTAACTTTGTACCACATACCTACTGTTTTAACTGTACAATGACAGAACTTACCCCCGGGACAAACTTGACCTTCACTGGTTGGGTTTTTATTGGCGCTCAAGCTGTAGATCCTGGCTACACAGGAGTTGCAGCGGTGGGAACGAGAGGTAGGAAAATCATTATTAAGCGAGAGATTACCGGAGTATGTACTTGACTTCCTAACTTCAGAATAAAAGAAGTTCCTATGCAATTGGTATTTTATTATTATTTACTTGAATTCGCTCTGCCTCTAAATATACCACCAGTCTAGCTAAGCCTTGTATAATATGTTTACGTTCCAGCTTGTAAATTATGCACTCAATAAGTAAAGCGCAGCCCCAACCTTGCTATTGACCGATGTTTTAACCGAAGGTCGATTCTCCTTTAATTTGTTTTGATTGCAACGGTGAAAGTTTTAAAAGTTAATCGGATTCTTTGTAAGCTAATTTCAGCCTAAAAGGTTTTAAAAATGTATTAAACTTTCTTTCTGAAATAACACGTGAAACTCGCAATTTTGTTTACCTCTATGACATGATGATATTTTGATTTTAAAACCAAAATATCATATCATACATATCAAAGATTTTACTGAATCAATTTTAACGAAATTGAAATGTGACCAACTCTGTATACAATAGTAGGTACGTCTCTATAAAAATTACAATCAATGAGGATCAGTACTGTTGTAGAAAATTCAATAAAACTAGTATCTACGTTAATCTTTAAGACATAAGAAAGATATATCTTTTTGAATTATCCAAATCGGACCATTACTTACGAAGATATTAAGTAATAAACATAGGCCGTTTTTGCCGCTAAAAGTCAACGTACGCAGCTTCTAGGCTAAGATTAAATAGATTTCCAGGAGGGAGCAGCTGTCCTTTCCTGCAGCAGCTGGCCCGCCCATGGGAACGGCGAATAGTATACGTAGGTTTAACTCATTGTAGGTATTGCGTGTACATCGAAATGATCTTCATAGCAATGTCTTGTAGCCTAGGCAGAGTGTATCTGCCTTAGCTATACCTTATTGTTAGAAGTAAATAAATTAATACTTATACATTTTTATATTTTACTTGGAAGACGACAACACTTAAGAACACTTCATTTGAATAAATCGCCAAATATACCACCGCGCAGAACCCAATCGCGTCTCTGCGTTCCATTGAATCGTATGAGCGTATGGATTTTTTGCGATATTTTTCACAATTTCTATTTTTAAAAATTACCTATCGATAGCTTACTTTATTCTGATGAATAAATGTCATTACAAGTTTTTCTCTAAAACTGATAGTTTGGCTAGAAAAAAATATTTTCTATCCACGCAGTACGCCGGCAGCGTTCGGATCGGATATAATGACGTCATCGTCCCCGCGCCGGACGGTCAGTGAACTTTTTTAGTAATTTGGCCATAACTTCGTCAATTTTTGTCGTAGAACAAAAATTTTTGGACTGTGTATTAAGGATTTCTTAGCCCTATAAATCTGCATTCACAGCTAAAAATCGAAATGATCCTCATTGGAAAAAAGATGCTGACAAAAGTGACCCTGTTTCTTGCGCTGCTTCTCAGCACTGGCCCATTTATTGTCTCGAAGCAATGGTAGGGTTAATACTGGGACGTGTAAAATTGCTTTTTAAAAGCCTACTTGCAAAAAATAAAATGAATTGTATGATTGACCCACTTTTTTGAAGTCGTTTAAAATGTATGGTGGTGAAATGGTAAACTCACCCCATAAGTGCTCCCAGAGTTAAAAGCCAGCCAGCCCCACCATAGCACGAAGGTGCCCATTACAGCGTTGACTGGATTGCCCAGCGGTAGTGGGTCGTTGCCTTTCGCGTAACGTCCCAGCCGTGGGCCCAGCATCAGAGCTGACGCGAAGGCGGACGACCCGCCTGGGGAATTCATGAATGATTAATTCCGGAAACTACAGACTTTTTTAAATAATGTATCTATTAGTAATTTGTTACGAATGGGCTTACCACAATAATAGAGCGGTGGCGGGATTCGAACCCGCGTTCCTCGGATATCGAATCGGCTAGTCCGTCGCCTTCATTCGACTATCTTGGTTTCATGAACATTTAGAACATGTATGAAATTATGCGATCACGTGGATGTACCCACGTGGGTATAAAGTAAGGCAAGAAATAGAGTAACTACTAGTAATTAAGCGAAATAGAAAAGTAATCTCATTTAAAAAAATAAGCGTAATTACGACATTCACGATAGTGGAGAAAATAAAGAAATACATTAAAATGCAAGGCGTATTATGTCTACAATATTGAGCATTGTAATTGAAATGAGAAAAGAAGTATTATTTATTACGAGTAATAAGATAAAACTATAAGTTTTGAACGGTATATGCGAACATCAGGCCTAGGCAGGTAGAAATACCCCAACCCGTCTGCTCCGCTTGGGGAGTGAAGGCCGAATCCTCCATTTACCTCTGGTAAATTGGATAGGGTCTTGCTCCAGCGGTGGAAACTGAATGACCTGATAACAATCGTAATCGAGAAACCACACCTTATGTAACCATAGCCATAACTTAGAACTCCTCCTATGTTTATTTATCTGATTTTTCGTTGCGGGTCCAATGACAGTTTACGTTCCCCGGGAAAAACTTGACCTTAATTGGATGTGTTTTCATTGGCGGTCAAGCTGTAGTGTAGATCCTAGATCCTGGCTACACAGTAGTTGCAGCGGTGGAAACTAGAGGTTGGGAAGAAATAAGCTCTTGTGTGGATACTAAATACATTAGATACTAAAATGACCTGATTATGTTCTTGCTTCTTTCATAATCTAATGATCCACTGCTTGGTACAGGTAAATAGGAGAGGATCGTGGTCCTGTGTAGACTAAATGATGATGATGAAATTGGAGAAGGTTTGCGTTCCTGCAGAGGATAAAAATAACCTCTTACCAATAAGATGCACAGGCCCGGACCCAGCGATGTCGACAGCCCCCATGCGATTCAGGAACCCGTGAGACCCCCAAACCCAGCCGGCCGGCACGCAGTACACCACCGTGTTCAGGAATGAGAACATGCAGTAGGCTTTGAAGTTGCACCTGTGGATAAACCAGCAAGTTTAAGTGGCAATGGGCAGGGTACATAGTACACAGAACTGACGGCCTATGGGGCAGCATGGATCTAGAATGGAGGCCATGTACCGGAAAGCGCAGCGTAGGACGTCCACCCACAAGTTACGACCTTATAAAGATAGCGGGAAGGCGCTGGATGCAGGCCACTGCCGCCAACCGGTCATTGTGGAAGTAATTGGGGGAGGCCTATGTTCGTTCAGCAGTGGACGTCCTATGGCTGAAATGATGACGATGCCGCGATGTGATGATAATAATATTATGATGATTGATATTTTCGGAATCCATCTCCAGTTTGGTTGGGTTTGGTCCGCATCATAATATCCGGTTGTGAAGGTAGTCGTTCTCGAAAAAAAGTTTTCTATTAAATGCGGTGCATTAAACTTTTTATACGAGTAGCTTACAAAAGTATGTTTACAAACTGTCGAAACAGTGCATCAATAATAATTATTATTTTATTATGTAGGTACGATGACTGCCGAAATTGAAGCTCTGTTTTTGTATAAGTTTGGACAAAAACAGTACCTAATTAGGTTGATGTCCGTTTGCCTTTGACATTGCGGTCATAGGTGTCAGTGCATAACACCACATTAAACATTAATGAGAATCTATAGCGTGTAAACCTACCTACTATATTCATAACTGGCTCACATTGCCTCAAAAATAAATACTGTCCTTTTGTCGATGCAAGATGATTCATAGTTCGTTCAACTAACTATACCCGTTCATCGCTGGACAAAGGCCTCCCTCAAAGATTTCCACAACGATCCTGCGCTTCTTGCGACCTTCACCAGTTTGTGAATCCATCGAGTGGGAGGTTCGTCTGTCCATGGTCACCAGCACCACTCGCGAAATTTTCTGTATTGCCTTAAGTTTTAGAAATGATAAATTCATAAAACTCCTGATCCTAATAGAACTAACTGCGCACCTCGCCACTTTTACCCCCCCACCTCCCCGCGTTTGCCTCCGTACCAGAGCGTCGATGTGACGTCACGGCCGCTAGGTACGCAGTTAACTTGACCGGGTTGTAGTACTTACTCACCTCTCAGCCATAGCTGACGGAATTCATTGGGGAGGTCACTTTGTGGGCTATAATATTCCAGACCTGGTCATAAACAAAGTAAGAAGAAGAAGTAGCAATTGAAATGTACGAAAACTACTGGGCGTCGCTATTGCAACACTTCAATTTTCTTCAATTTGAAGGCGCCATTAAGTTCTATGAGCTGTATATGCCCAGAGATGATATTAATAAAGCTGTTTAGTAAGTGTACTCGCCTCTCAGCCATAGCGCCGCTGACGATGGTGGTCGCGGTGGTGGCGAAGGACAGCTGGAACAGGAACGACGCGAAGACCGGCCCCATGAGCGCGTCGCCCACCGGTGGGTCCACTAGGAAGTCGCCCACGCCGATGAAGGGGTTCGAGTAGGCGCCGCCGCCGAACGACATCCCGTAGCCGAAGATCCAGTAGGTTAGACCTGGGGAGAACAGTCAGGCTGTGGTCTAGAAACGCCGTAGATTCCGTACAGCGTAAGACCCGGTTTCCAAGGCAGAAAGGACAGAGCGGAGAAGTGTTCCAATCAGATTTTATTAGTTCCACTTCTCCTCTCCGCACAGCTCCGCTCTTGCCGCCACGGCTGTCAAATTCTATAAAAATTAACGGTCCGACACTTTTCTGTTTTGGTAGAAACCGGGCCTAACGCCGTAGGCCGCGCGCGTCACAATGCATATGCTTACCATAGAAATGTACTGCTGTGGTCACTTTCAGATGTTGACGTCAGCGTGTATGGACGTCGATAGGAACGTTTAACGCTGATCTACGCCGTGTAAAGCGTTTAAAAGATGATCGGACCCTCAGGGTTGCAAGGAAAGGTGGAATTTAGTTCCAGCCTCCGTGTTTTTATACACATCTTCGTTGCAGTCAAAGGACGTGTAAGGTACAGGTGGCTGGACAAAGGCATCCCAGGGATTTCCACAAATACCGGTCCTGCACTGCCCGTATCCAGGTGCTTGCCGTATACTTTTCAATATACTTATTAACTTGGGGATTTTTCACGCTGGGGACGGTACGCACTGCATGTAAATTTAAGTGAGTGCACCAGTTGTTTGTGAATTGAGGTGAGATCACGTAAGTAGCCTTGTCAAGAAATCACCGGAAGAATTGCTAGTGTGGAAAGGCCTTGCCTTCCATCCACGAGTTCTTTTAGACAGGGAAATTCAACTGCAGACATTCGCATCCATGTAGTTTAAAGAGTAGTATTAAGCCAAGTAACTCACCACCAAGAGAGATGTCAGCGAGGTTCTTCATCATGATGTTGGCTTCGTTCTTTATGGACACGCAGCCCGACTCCAGCATGCCGAATCCTGAACAAAAATAAATCCATGATAGGACGAAAAACAATAAAATTCAAATCCAAAACCTTCGCCGTAATGATGATGGAATAGAGGATTATAGATGATCTATGTTTTGCTCAAGGTCAGCTGGGAGAGAATGCCTTATGGCATTAAGCTTGCCTTTTTGTACGGAAAATTCTTATGTGTGTGCAATAAAGTCTTTAAATAAATAAATAAATGATTTCAAAGCTTCTAAAATTTTCTCAGAAGTTTTAAAAAGAAGCTGTGGCTTGGTGGCTTGAAAATATTGGTTGATCCCTTTTTAAGGCAGAGGGAATATTGTTCCAAACATAGCAAGTAATGGACATACTTAGCAAGTTTTTAAGGGTTAATGGTGTCATCCACCCAATTTATAAGGAAAGCTGCTGTGGTAAAACGAAGTGTTTTCCTTTGTTTGGGTTGTTCTTGTTGTAATAAATTGTTACTGTAATACATTTTCAATGAGTCTATTTTTACAAAATTGTCGCTCGCTCGTGACTTCACTCACGTGCATTTTCATACTATGTAAGCAGTGTTACAAACACTCAGGTTTTGTTCCTAAAATTCATTGAAATGTTAGAGCAGCTTACATACCAGACACAACTAAATCTTAGACTCTTTCTTTTAAAAAAGGAATTATTGTTTTCTTTGAATAAAATTATCTACAGTATGTAAGCACTAGAGGCACTACTTGAGAAGCATACCTTAAGTATTATTTGGCTAAAAATGATATTTTTGCATACCCATGTGAAGATCTCAAATAGGGTATAAAAATGTAGAGCAAGGAAGAAGACGTTCATCATCTCAGCCATATAGGACGTCCACTGCTGAACATAGGCCTCCCCCAATGCTTTCCATGTTGCCCGGTTGGTAGCGGCCTGCGTCCAGCGCCTTCCTGCTACCTCTATGATGTCGTCGGTCCACCTTGTGGGTGGACGTCCCACGCTGCGTTTTCCGGTAGAAGCTTAGACGTTCAAATAATGAAAATAAGAATTTACCTATATTTTCCTAAACCTCGAGAGTTAATTTATGTGTTGCAATTATTGATAATTTTTCCTCATTTACAAAACAAAATATCAAAAGAAGTAGGAAAAACAAGAATTGCAAAACTTTTAGGAAAATGATCTACAAAGCGTATAATGACTTAATTTATATGCCGTTACCGGTTGTTATAAAATTTTGAAACAATACAATATTTTAATTTTTCGTTCATCTTTTCAGCCAAAAGACCTCCACTGCTGGACAAAAGGCCTCCCCCAAGGATTTCAATAACGACCGGTCCTGCGCGCCGCCCGCATCCAGGCACCTCCCTCGACCTTCAACAGATCGTCGGTCCACTTAGTGGGGGTCCACACTACGCCTTCGGGCACGGGCCCGACAGGGTTGATACTCGATTTAAAATTTTTACAAGCAACAATTTGTGCTGGCAAATAATAATAATGTCACGAGTAGAATATTCCACCTCAAAGTGGACCGACGACAACATAAAGGTAGCAGGAAGGCGTTGGACGCAGGCCGCGACCAAGCGGGCAACATGGAAAGCATTGGGGGAGGCCTATGTTCAGCAGTGGACGTCCTATGGCTGAGATGATGATGATGATGGGTAGAATTGTCAGGCGTCCGGATAAAGCCGGACACACGGGTGACGGGTCTCTAACCTATTGCTATAATACTATGAGGAAGGCCAAAGGCATATTATAACATACCAGTCTGCATGGTGAAGATGATGAAGGAAGAGGTCAGGATCCAGTTGGTGTCTTCCAAGTCGATCTCGAAGTTCTCCTGCAGGTTTACGGTGGTGTTGGTCAGGTTCGGCGAGCGGAGCCCGACCCTCGGGAACATGCTCCAGTTGCCGTCCATCTTGGATTATACGTCAAAGTTTCCCGCCAAAAGTGTTTTGAGGATTCAAAAGAGGTTCATCATCATTCACTGAAGTTTTTTTTTATTTTTTTTACCAGTGACGTTGTAGATTTTCCAATCAAACCTCAGACTTTTTTTTATTTTTTAATTAATGTTACATACTTTAAATTATTTTTAAATCAATTTGTTACTATCGGTTATTATTTTGATCAAACAAAAAATATTAACGATTGTATTTTTTTGACGAAAACCAATTTATGTTTCTTCACAACACATAATTTTAAAACTTTTCTTCTAAGAAAGGATTCTAAATGCACTCGGAGCAGCGGCGTGTTTCCAAATGACCAGTTTAGTCGAGTTTTCAGTGGTTAAATAGAGCCTCCGACTCGACGATTAGAAGGGCAAGGATGTGTGAAGATGATGGATGCACTGTCGCACAACGTTGCACAGTGTGTTATGGGACTGTATAATCGGACATTCTCATTTATTTGATGAACCGTATAGAGCTCAGTTATACAAACATGATAGTAAAACTCCCGTTTGAAAATTCCACGTTGTTTTCGCGGTATAAAAATTCAAAGTTCCCTATTTTTTTACTTCAAAATTATGCAAAAATATTCTCACTCGTTAACTAATAACATTTAATTCAGAAATGTTATAATACTTCATAGAGCTCTTAAAACTACAGGTAGGTAATAAGCGTATTAAGTGCTTCGTAAACGCATTCAGTTAATTAGGAAAAATGATTTTAGTGACTTTTGTTATTTTTTTTCTCAATTATACCTTAAGCTACAAAAAGCGGTACATTATAGTTAAAATAACTTTTTGTCTTAGTTTAGACGAGTAATATTATCAACTGTCCTCTAGCTTGTCTGGAAGGAAGAGATCGTTCTATAGCGATAAGACCGCCTGAATTGTGCTCTAGCGCCTCTAATATACGAGTAATATTCCAAACTCTAGGTTGTCTGGAATAGATCGCTTTAAAACAATAAGACCGCCTAAATTGGGCCGTATCTTTTGTATAACTACTTAGTTCTTTCTTTTTCTTTTCTTATGTGGTGTACCTACAATAAAGTATGTTCTATCTATTTATTTATTACCGCATCCACGTTTCATACTTAGTTTTTATACCACGTAGACACCGATCATCGCTAATTCAGCTAATTCGAAGTTAACTTTAAATGATCCATTTTCACAAAGTTTCCTCCAACACTTTTATTTGAATGTCGGTCAATGTCAACATAGGTACCGCAGGGGGACAAAAAAGGCGTTTTAAAATTTGCCATAAACTCCCGACAAAGTAAAAAATTTTATGGTAAAAAATGATAAATGATGATGAAAGTAAAAAAAATCGGAAAAAGTAACCCAGAAAATTCCGAAATATAGTTTTAACGCCATCTATTGAGTTTAAGTGCTAACATTATTCATAATCTAGTATTACTACTCGCCAATAGATGACACTGTAAATTGTTGTAGTATTTAAAATTTGCGATAGATGTCGCTAGATTCTTTGTGCTTGACTGTGTACAATTTAGTACCACTACTCCCCGATAGAGGACACTATCTTAGTGTTTTTGTTCTTCAATAGATTTCGCTAAGTAATTTCTATGCTTCATTTCCAAAACCGGCCAAGTGCGAGTACGACTCGCGCACCGAGGGTTCCGTACGATACGAACTTGTAGGAGTAAAAATAGTTTTTTCCTGGAAATTAAGGTTTTCAAGCACAAAATGTAAATAAAATCACCTTTGTTGTATGGGAGCCCCACTTGAAATATTATTTTTTATTTCTAAAAAGATAGCGTACTTAATAAAAATAGCAAATAACAGCGGTCCGGGATGTAGGTATATGAATGGTGAACTAGGAAGTGTTGTAACTATTTGCAGTTTTAATTCAATGTAGTTAAGTCAAATAAAATTCTTTAAAATCAACAATAAACAAATGATATCATCCGTTCACAAATGAAAAAAAAACACAAATTTATAAAAACTTTAAGAGTCAACATAAGACGGTATTTATTTATTTATTTTAGGAATTACAATAATTATTTCATTTTGTAAACCCACTTATACATAGTTATTGCGATACTGGTCTGCGAGCCTAAATAACTACTGCTGCCTTGTATTTTACCTAGCTTTTCTTGAAAATAAATGTTTTATTATTATTATTATTTTGTACGCTTTGGAGCTCACGGGTCAAAAGTGGCCCGGTCCTATAAAAGGCTTGCGTGGGCATACAGAAACAACATTATTATTAATCCCCGGATACACTAGGGAACATTTTGTCCCGCAACACAAAATATACGTGACGCTGCAACGTTGCATAGTGTCCCGCAACATGACCCACAACATTGTACGTGACGCGGGGCATGTTGCTTGCTCCCGCCTCGAGAGTGTGGTTGACAAAATGTTCCGCGACATGTATCTCGGCACATTCCACGTAGTTGTTGAGGAACATGTTCCGCAACATGTTGCTTCATTTCCCCTAGTGTATCCGTGGCTTTAATTACACAGTTGTTGAACACTGTTTTACAATGACATAATTATAAAAATAATGACAATTGACATTTCCATACTAAACGTCACATTAAGAGATTGTTCAACGAGCGTATAAGTAAGAGGTTTAATTAGATATCTTATTACGATCTTTTGACAAGACCGTATTCAAAAATTTAATTACATTTAAGGATTTTTGTACTATACATTTTTTTTTTTTTTTTTTTTGAAGAGACGCGCGCTGGTAGCTTGAGGAGCTTTTCCAGCTTCACCGGGCAGAGTGGCGAGTACAGAAGGTACTCTAGCCGTTTGGCGATCGTCGGTGCGCGTGCCGACGAGGCCGAGTGTGGGCTTCGCGAAGCGAAGCCCAGGCTCGTCCGCGTCGGTCGCAGACCGACGTTCGCTATCGGGCCGNATTACCTATACGCTGAAAAAAAATTTTTTCAAATCGGTTAAAAAGGGGGGGAGTTATCGCGAAAAAAAAAAAAAAAAAAAAAAAAAAAAAAAAAAAAACATACGGGTCGAATTGAGAACCTCCTCCTTTTTTTGAAGTCGGTTGAAAACAAGGCGGCCAACTTTATAATAAGTCAATGCGGGACACCCCCCCTATCCACAATAAGACTTAGGATTTGTTGGAATTGTTAATGGTGTACTTAAATTAGAAACAAACAACACTACTACCGAATTAACATTTATTTTTAAAATCATATTTTTCACATGAGTGGCATTTTTAATAGGTCTGGGTTTTGGTTCAGAATGTCCAAAAAATTTTCACAGCTGCCCATATTGAATTTTATAATTAGCATTGCACGTAATGTTTCTACTTTTAGTGACGACTTTTCGGATTTCCATCTCGTTCCGTAGGAGCGTTTGTTCCTGGCAAATAGAGTAGGTACTGGACGATGGCTAGGCAAAAATCATTTGTATTTTGATGTGGAACACTTTTATGCGAGCAAAACGATGGGAAACGAGGAATGCGGGACATACGGGACGCCTCGGACGATTTGCGGGACTATTTTATTAAATATTGCAATGCGGAATTGCAACTGTCATTACGGGACGGTTGGCCGCCTTATTTAAAAAGCACTTTTACACGTCCCAATATTAACCCTACCACTGCTTCGGGACAATCAATGGGCCATATTGCAGTAAACATTTTCTAATCGTTTTTAGGGTTCCGTAGTCCTGACAAGGAACCCTTATAGTTTCGATATGTGTCTGTATGTCCGAGGTTTTGCTTGGAAACTATTGGCACTAAAGAGCTGTAATTTTGTGGAGGTATGTATATTAATCACGCGGACAAAACGGTAAAATAAAATTTCGTCCCGTGCGTCCCCCCTCTAAAATCTAAACTGCTGGCTTGAAAAATCTGCTATTACGGTTAAGATACATCACTTAGTTTAAGAGTAATAGTCATTTGACTCATGTATTATAAAATTTCTTAACTAGTAAAAATTCATTAGAAGAAAATATTAAAAGTGACTTTAGATGAAGTAATTGCTTGCTTCTGAAATACATATTGTGTTAACGACGGACAACTACGGAACCCTACACTGCGCGTGACACGACACGCACTTGGCAAATCCTACTAATATTATAAATGCGAAAGTTTGGATGTTAGGATGTCTGGATGTTATTACTCTTTCACGCAAAAACTACTGAACGGATTTTGTTGAAACTTTATAGTATTATTGTTTGTAGCCCAGATTAACATAATTAGGCTATAATTTATGCCGATCTGTGACACTAAATTTCACGCGGGTGAAGCCGCGGGCAAAAGCTAGTTTATTATAGTAAAAAAAAATGCTGGTGCAGCCCGGGTCAGGAGGTCACTTTGTTGTATAATAAACGTGATTCAGAATCGCCACGGTAAAGTTTTCAAATTTTTCAATCTTCATGCTGTCAATCAAACGTGTGCACCCGGCGGGTGCCACCCGCGCTTATCGCCGCCATTTTCAGAAACCACAATATTCGTTAAACCATCATGTTTGAATTAAGAGCTTAAAGGCGATCGCGAACGCAGGTAGCCTCTTTTACACGGGCCATAAAATTAACACCCCGTATTATCATTGTATTTGTATGTTTACACCAATAAAACTACAATACAATTTTTTATCACTCAATAGAAGCGGGTGATGGCATGATAACTTTATCCACACTAAAATATTCAATATGAACTTTATTTAACATAACTACAGTTGAAATTCAGTTGTATCGCATCTAAGTCCTACTAATACTACGCTCAAGTTATTCTAAAATGAACGCTATACAAAAGCAGTAAGCTGGAAATTCCCTTGCAATAACACCACGAAGAAAAGGTCCACTCCCCATTGCGAAGGCGTGGTCGCTCACTGGCAGCTTACAAAGACAGCTCCAAACTCAGTCGAGAACCGACACTCGGACGTTCCAAATACAAAATTCAAATTTTCGAATTTTCAAACGCGCGTGCAGTGGTGTCAAATCCAAGTGTTTTTTTTTCAAAATGGACTCTGAAATCAGTAAAATGCAGACGAAGATTCCGCCCAAAAACTTTTCGATTGAATCGATTGTCGGGCTTTCCGAGAGGAGGTCTCCCGAAATCGATATTGAAAACACGATATCCCAGGATCACTCGGAGGATGAGGATGTTAAAGTTAGGGATGGGAAAATGGGGTATTACTTTCAGCAGAATCGGGTGCCGAATTTTCCGTTTTTCATGTCTTATGACAAGAGGGTTATGAGTGGTTACCAGGGGGAACCGGGAGGGCAAGAGGACCTGAAGAGGGCCAGTCCTGGCAGCGTGAGGAGTGAAGTGG